TTTGGGTGAAATGATTTGATAAAATGCAATGGTAATGTTGGTGGGTTATACTGAAACCTCCAAAATTGAACTCTCCACCCTTAATGATTTCCGTTACCCTTCAATCTGGGAACCCTCCTAAAGGGCCTCCAACCTTGGAACCTTTCCAACCACCTTGGAACCTTTCCAACCTGGGCCCTGCAATCCGGCAACCACTGCAACCCTCACTCGGAGCCCCTCCAAACCTGGACCCCTCCTGGAGCCTCGCTGAGTTGGAGAGCGGGCCTGGACTAGGTAGGTTGTAGGTTTCCAAGATTGGAAGGTCCCATTGGAAGGGGCTCTAAGTTTGGAGGTTGCTGGTGGAGTTGGGCGAATCCAGATGGCAGGGGCGGGAGAAGGTTGGCTAGATGAAGTGAACACATCGGGATGGGTAGGTTAGGTGGCGGCATTCTTGTGCAAGTCGAAAGTAGTCCAGCTATTTGGAGTTGACTTCCGAATTGTCTGATTTTTGTTGAATATTTTCTAATTGGAATAAGCTCATAAGGCGGCCCCGAGCAAATCTTCATGGAGGTAGTGTAAAAATTCCTATGGATTTATTTTCAATTCCGACTGACTATTCAAAGATATACGCCATACACCGTATGTGTTCAAACATATTGTTGGTTGATGATTATATTATAGGGGTTAGGGTTAGACGATCCAATGAGAAAAAAACGGATCAGTGAACCACTAGTTTACTAATATGGAGGAGTTGGATACCAATTTAAAGGGACATTATGTTTTTTTTTTGGGGGGTAAGCGCCACGCTAAGCGCCCTAGTCAATTTCAAGACTTTAAGCCATGGTGGACATTGGATAGAAAGCCCATTTGATGTTCCACCTTCCATTTAGTAGCATTCGTGTTAAGATATTGGCCGTTTGTGGATGAGTAGCCTGTCAACAGGAACCTTGATGACTTATGATACTGGAAGCACCTTGGGGCCCTTCCCCACTGTCTCCCCAGGAGCAAATTGCTACAGCAGGGAGCCGATCTGTCGGCTGGGAGACTGAGAAACCGAGAAACCTGCAGCTTCGGAAGGGGTTGCGGTTGATGGTTCAAAGAAGACTAACCATGGTTACCAGTTGTTGTTGGTCATCATAATTATAACAGTAAATCAGCAAGTGTTTAAGCATGTCTAAACTTTACTTTTTTTGGGTTAGGTTCGCGCGCGCACGGGGGGCCTCCATGGTATACCCAAAAATCGTGCGAACCTAATCAAAAACCAGTTTAAGTGTTTTTTTGTTCCGCAAGGAAACTCATTGAGTAAGTATAAATTGTCTGTTTGGCCATAATGAGTTTTGGCCACAATTTACTACATAGGAAATTCCTATGGTTTTGACCCACTCTTGGTATTGGTTTGGCCATAATACCAAACTACCTTTTTGGGTGGGAAACCAGGAATTTCCAGATGGTTGTCCCATGTTGATCCCCACTGATCAACGGGGGCATTGGCTGATATATGACTGGATTGGTTGACGGGAAAATCGGAAAATCTACAGGAAACCATCGTGTTTTTTTCCCATCAAATAAGTTTTTTTTTCCTGTAAATTTTCAATTGAATCAATCCAATGAATATATGCAAATAAACAATATGATTTGATAAGTCAGATAAGTAAGTTGGTTTATGCCTGGGCCAAGTGCTGGATATTGACGGATAAATCAAACATGACTGGGGGGTGGGGCGACTTTGTAACATAATTCCCGCGGCAAGAGAAGAACTAGTAACTAGATCAGCAGGTTTCTAGGTGGGGCGGTATTCAGGAGGAAATTATGATTACGTTATTTGGATATAGTTACGGGTTAAGATTATAGAATGCTCTTTTGAAATGAATGGGCTGAATACTGAGCAATCAAATTCGCGAGCCCATTGGTGCCCGGTAATTGCTCTAATTCTGATCTGCACTCATGCGGGTCAGCACTGGAAATCATGGAGACCAAATCTGACAACCAATTCCTGCAATATCTTGCGTACTATCACTCTGACAGCGATGGAGAGGAGAATGCATGGTATGCTCTTGTCAGCCTATCTAGTGAACGTGTTCCTTCCATTTATCATGAACCGTGCTAATGCCGACCAGAAATTGTATTCGGATCATTTTAGGCAACCTCTTGATTCTCGGCAAATTTGTGTGCCCATTTGGTTGCCGATGGAACCAGCAACTGCCATGTTGGTCAAAAACATGGTTGAGATCCTCGATTTTGGAGTCACCCCTCATGAACCATCATGAATCTTCATTGACCAACACTGAATATACCTTCGTTGAAACTGAATGCATCATTAACCCTATACAAACATTCACTGGATTGGTTCAAGGCAAAGTTTGCAGTAACCCCCCATATTCATGGTAAAAAAAACACGGTTTCCTTGTAGATTTTCCCTTAAACCAGTGAAACATAATGAAACATATTGAAACATAACTTGATGTTTTCACCATTTTTCACCCCTTTCCTTCACGGATCCCTTACAGGAAGCAACCCTTTCCGACTGCCCTCTGCCGAGGCCGCGAATGGCGAGGGCTGTCCGGCGCTCCTGCTGGCCGTACGAGCCGAGGTGGGGCCACATCTGGATGATCATTGGATGAATCTGGAAAAAATGAAGATTTTCCATGGCTATGTTAAATAACCAGAGGGTATAGGAAAATATATGAACAATTAGATACTTAAATAGGGAATGAATGAATGAGCAACATATCATGTAAGGTCATGGAAGATCATTGTTCCTAAAAAAAACGCCCAAAAACTTCAAGATGCCGGGTTTGCAAGATATCGGCTATGTGTGAAGTGTAGATTTCTTTCCTATGGAAAAGGACGCTTCCCCATGGTATCCCATGGTCATGTTGGATTGCGACGGCTGGTTTCACTGGGTTCACCACGAACTGTTCGCCCGGAGCACCTGGGTCGCCTAGTGATTTGGTCTTCAGTGATTTGACTGGCCATAACTAGTCTAGCAATTCAAATACCAAAAACAGGACTCAAAACTGAGCATACCTCCTGGTATTTATACTTATTTCCAGCATTTATAATTTTACCTGCTTTGAGGCAACAGAAACCCAACTCAGCATCAGGCACCCGTGGCAGCGCTCACGGTTCGGCGCTTGTGGGGTTTTGGGGTTTTGCTGGAAAATCCACCTATTTTGTAGTTCGATGATTTTTTTCCAGCTGTAAAACTTCCATTGATAGGGATTTCCCAATATTTTCCTATGATTTTCCCATTCAAGCCTCAAATTTTGGTGGGTATTTGTGAATTTCCCATGGCCATACGTGATTGCGGAAGGCTAGTTGAAACCTGAAAATCTCCAATCTCCGGGCTCAAAATGCCCAAAACACCCGGTGTCATCAGGGATGGTTTCCAAAGACACTTTCAGGTCTGGATAGGTCTACTGTAAATGGCACAACATGCCACATGAATGTTTGTTGCTTAGTTGAGCACTGACTGATGTCCCAGTCAGTTGCTCACCACTTGGGCTAAGCTGCAAGGAAAATGAAAGGAAGATTTTCGTGGGGCCTGCAGTCAGGACACATCCGGTTTCGCATTCAATGTCTGAAACCTTGGTATGCCTCTGCAGTTTGATCAATTTTTGGTCTTCGTTCAACCGGAACCCATAGGACCCCCGTTAGTTCGTTCATAATTCTTTCATGTTTTTCGTTCGATGAAGTGTATGCATCTCCTTGATCCAAGACGCTTTTTTCCTGCCGCCATTTAACCATGGGTGCACAGAAAACCGCGCGGAAATCGCGCGGAAGTCGCGGTAGTGGAAACTCAGCAAAGCTGTGAAACCCCATGATACGTCTGGAACCAGGGATAACCAGGGATACAAGGCACCCTCAAACCAGCCCCATGGTTGAATCATATGGGCACGTGACATCGACAGTGGACAAATCTTCTCCCTCCGTGGCCGCATAACGAATCGATTTCAAATAACCAACCTTCCAAGGTCCTTTTTGCATCTTTTGGCATCATCCCAAATAGAGTGTACCATGCTATACCCAACAATCAAGCTCTCTGGATGGTTTATTAATGTTTATTAATGTTTATTATATAGACTTACCAGGGTTTTAAAATTAATGTTTATTGTCTAGATTTACCATGGTTTACCATATCAACCAACTTCACATTGATCTTTGACGGCGCACTTCCGCCTGAAACCCCGTTTTTTTTTTTTTTTCGGAGCCATGGCGTTGCGCTTCTGGCACGATGGGGCCACCCGAAACCTGACGTGACAGCGCCTCGCCATGATGGGTCTGCTTGAAACTGGCGTATCTTATCCAATAGCATAAGATAATCCAATGGATATCCAATGTTTTTTTTTTCCAGTTCTCCCATCATTTTCAGTCCAAAGCCACACTTCAGGGCCATTACGTCAAACCAAAGACATGCCAGAATTGGGTTATGGCGGTTACCCTCTGGTAAACTAACAGTTTGCTATTGAACATGGCCATAGAAATAGTGGATTTACCCATTAAAAATTGTTATTTTCCATAGCTACGTTAGTTTACCAGAGGGTATGGCTTAAGATTACGATCACCTCACCCACAGCATGGGGTTCCGGTTCATTGGACGGCGGGGATGGACTGGCGCTTTCTTGGCCACGCAGCTAATAACCCATATGCTCCATGGTGCTGGTATATATTTACCTACAAAACTGGCTCACTTATGGGGTAAATGGTGGTAAATATTCCATACATGGAGCATATGGGTAAGATACTTGCATATTTTTGCGTACGGTTTGAGCTGGTTTAAGGCTAGTGGAAGGCTGGGTCCCCCATGTTTGTCCAATGCCCATTTCGGAAATGTAAGCCAATACGCGCGGGTCTGCATTTGCAAATGGGGAATTGCAACGTCAGACTACGACTGAAGATGTAGCTAATCAAATTTGGGGACTCGTTTTGGTAAATTGAATCACTTAACATGTTTTTTTAAATGTTGTCCTGATACGACCCTACACTGAAACGTCGCCGCCGTGGTGACCTTGGACCAGGTCATGGGTCAAGGTGTTTCCAGTTCAGAGTCGGCGGCTGAGCCTCTTGGCGCCGAGCTTTTTGATTTCCCAGTGCACATGGATTTGTCCGAAATGGACCCCAAAAAAATCAAAAAAGCAGCAATTAATTCTACTATGATCAACCAATATTAGCCACACCCTTGGACCCTTGACATTTTCATGATTCAATGTGGGTGATTTTTTGACGCATTTTTTGCAGCGCAGTCCTGAGGCGCTACTATCTTCAAAAGGTGAAACTCGGAGAAGGCTCTTTTGGCACTGTCTGGCGTGCTGTCGACAGGCCATGACCTCAGGAGATCGTTAGTACTGCTGGTGGAATATGGCAACCCAAAAAAAAACACTGAACAGGTTCAGTCAGCTCACAAGAAATCAATAGAAATCCAATCTCTATACATTTCTATGGGTTACTGTAAAATCACTTACATTTCTAGGATTTCTATAGGATCCAGTCATTTGGGTTCTAAAAAAATCCCAGGCATACCAATAGCACTGTGGCTGTGAAGCAGCTGGACAAGGCTCGGCCCGATTTGTGCGGGTTTTGAACCCTCCATGTGTTGTTCAAAACGGGTCGGAATATCCCAACAAGTGGGCGCCTTTGGGTCAGTGGCAGATCCGTTGTTGGACTTGTTTTCCTTCAAACTGATCATCCTCATCATCCTCATCATCATCAGCATCTTCATCTTCATCTTCTTATTCTTATTCTTATTATTCTTCTTCATCATCATCATCATCAGCATCATCATAATAATAATAATAATCATCATCATCATCGTCATAATCATCATCATCATCATCATCATCATCATCATCATCATCATCATCATCATCATCATCATTCATCATCATCATCATCATCATCCTCATCCTCATCAACATCATCACCATCATCATCGTCATGATGATGATGATCATCATCATCATCATCAGCAGCATCATTTTCATCATCCTCACCATCATCATCATGATCATCACCATCATCATCGTCATCATCGTCATCATCGTCATCATCATAATCATAATAATAATAATCATCATCATCGTCATCGTCATCATCATCACTAGCACTTTCATGATAAACTTCTAACCTCGGTGTCATTGCAAACGAGCTATTTCATCACTATATTTACCGATCATTTGCCATAAGTATCTGTGAATTCAATCATCGTCATTTCATCATCACCACAGTCAGCGGCCACGTCGACCCCACGGCTCTGGACGTCAGGCGGTGTTGCCCAAGCGCGGCGTACGCCGCTCGGACATCGAGCGAGAGATTTCCGTGATGCAGGTCCGGCCAAGCCTTGGTGGGAAAGTGTCGGGGGCGTTGAACCTGCGTTGAATGTCCAAAGATTGGTGTAGAGATGGGTAGCCAAAGGAGGCAAAAATATCTATATATATATATAAATATTTCATTTAATATAGCCAGAGATGGATAGGTTCACCAAGATACTGAAGCCGACTCCTGAAAGGTCGTAAAGTACTTTTGAACTGATTTTGTGTCATTTTGAGGGAAGAGTTGCCAAACAGTTTGACATCTCTCTTGCACAGGGCAACCAGGATCTGCCATGTCAATATGGGTAAATAGGTATAGGGTAAAAGCCTGGGATTTGACCAACGAGCTATTTCCCAACAATCAAAGGGATGTTTTTGAAACAAACCCAGCGGAAAAGTATCGTTTCTACAAGTAGACATGCATCGGAGTTTCATTGACAAGCAAGGTTGGTGTTTCACCTGCAACACTTGAATTTGATCAACAAAAAATGTGATTTCAACATACTCTCTGGTAAAAAAAGTACTGGTAGCTATTGAAAATGGCCATTTATAGTGGATTTTCCCATTAAACATTGTGATTTTCCATAGTCATGTTAGTTTACCAGAGGGTACTTTAAACCACAATAACAACATGCCTGGCACCGAGACGGTGTCAGAAAACCACGGCCATGAAATAATCCCAGGTTAGCCGCCGAATTAGCAAAGTTTCCTTGAAAATATGGCACCCTAAGACAAGCAGAATTTCACATCACCAGTGTGTGCCTATGTGTTTGAATTAATGGATGTTTATCATTGGGGAAATAGGATCCCTGAAGGGTGGTCAGCACAAAAATGTTGCAAATGCATGATCTATGTGCTTTCTTTAAAGGCCATGAATGGCCATGATGACTTCTTTCAACACATTCAATCAATTCAATCTGTTTAGCTTGTGAGAGCAGGCAGTAGGAGGTCCAATTTGTATATTCGTTTGGACGTTTTAAATGCTAGTGCTGTACTTGTATACCAAGATAATTTTATAGATAATCAATTATTCATTGAAACCCGCCACATGGCTACATCTAGAAACATATTGTTGGTCGCCCAAGGAACTAAACGGTTGAACATGTCACTTGGTACCACCTGCACGGCATTTTGCCCACAGGCGGTGGATCATGAGACGCTTAGCTGGTTGATTTTTGGGGAAAGTGGGACAAGAATGTGAGATCCTTTGGATTTTGAGCATCGACAGTGAGGAAGATTGTGGATTGAATTTTGACGGGATATTCCAAATGAGCATTGTATCAGATGACGATTTCCCTCAGAAAAGGTGGTTGTATACTAATGCGTTTAATGGGAATGTAGCGGGCACCGATTTTGGAAAGCACGGTCTGCCATTTCTCAAGCATTTGTTCATTCTTGGAGGGTCTTTAATTTTTTTCAGGGGTCTGATGTCAGCTCTTGAAGTTGAAATATGGGTTCAACATGGTTCAACTGCGGAAGGGGGAGAGAGAGAGCATGGTTTTTCACCCCAGCAATATTGAGCTTCCAGAACCAGGATTCAGGATTGCTGACTATTTGCAGGGCATTTGGTGAGACTGTCCATTGATAAATTGCCTTTTCTTCATATGCAGGCTATCCTCATTTCAGTGACCGTCCGTCAGGAATGTCACCAAGCTCTATGGCTCCTGGGAGGACCAGCAGAGTATCTTCCTGGCGTCCCTGGGCTCAACCTGGCTCAATCACCTGGAAACATGTGAGCATCAGTATACTGTCAGTGCCGGAATTATAGAACGGAAGTTGAGGAGTACGAAGGTACGGTTATTTACCGTACCCTGTTGTTCTATAATTCTGTTTTCCTCGGAAGGTGTGAAAAAAAAACGTATCTGAATTTACTCCTAACTTTTTTCGTCGTTCTATAATTCTTGTCGGAGCGCTGCTGTTCTATAATTATGTTTTCCCCCATTTTTCTCACATTTCCCATTTTCGTTCTATAATTAATGTTTCCCGGGCCCCGTTCTATAATTAATGTTTCCCGGGCCCCGTTCTATAATTCTTGTCGGAGCGCTGCTGTTCTATAATTCTGTTTTCCCCCATTTTTCTCACATTTCCCATTTTCGTTCTATAATTAATGTTTCCCAGGTCCCGTTCTATAATTAAATTTCCCGACTCCGCGCGGAATCGGAACCCGGAGGAGTACAAAGGTACGGTATTTTACCGTACTTTTGTACTCCTGGCTCCGTTCTATAATATCCTCCGTGCTACCGGTAATTTTTTTCCTGTGACTCCACTTCGGCGAATAAAAATGCCAAGTCAGGTAAAAATCATCAACAAATGGATGTCGCAAGGTTGGGGTTCAGGAAAACAAATGTTGGAGCCAGGAAAGCAGGATTAGTAACATAAGGTTGTACCACAGGATTTTATATGTTTCGAAGATTTGCTTGCCAGGATTGCATGGTTTTCCAAACAAGGTTGGGGTACAGGAAAAAAATCTCTGGGCTAATCTGTCGAACAGGAGAGGGTAGGATCTACATAAAGGTTGTGATCATACTTTTTAATGCATTTCAGTGGTTTGTAAAAAGGTTGAATCCGATAGCTTCACTGGATTTTAATTTTGAACAGTTATGAACTCCGTATGGTTTTCTTCAACAATATCCTCCTCTGTACTACCCGTTTTTTTTTCCTGGGGGTTCAGTACGCTTTTTAAAAAACACTATTTTCCAAAAATCTAGCAGACAGTGGGTGAGGGTCCAGGGGCATGATACGGCGCCAGGAATCAAATATCATACCAAAAAAGGCCCAGTTTTTTTTCCTGAAAGCTTCCTGACGTACAGTGGCAGGAAATCAATTTCTGTCTGTTGTGATTGAGGGGGTTGATCTATCAGTCTGTGTATGTAAGGCATCAGGAAATCAATCATGAATGACTCTGATAATGGGTAAGTTTGTAGAATTCCCAAGGTTAGTAGCCAGGAATTTGAAGGTGGATGGATCAAATGGGAGTTTACTAGAACATATCTAAATGTCAAACCCCAGGAAAAAATGTACCATGATTACTTGAGGGGGTATGATTCTTTACATGACTTTGCAAAAGGGTACAAACACATATGTTCACCTTCGCCAACCAAAAAAAGTGACTTCAAGAGGCCAAGGCGCAGGGGTCAAAAATAAAATCCAAGGGGCTGGACCTTTTTTGACTGAATACTTGCGGATGATCTTCAAAGGTTGGCCCCACAGGAAAAAAGTCGCATCACCAGGCCAATCATCCACAGATAGGACATGATGGGACGAATTCAAGAATTTTGTGTCAACGCGCGCCCAAATTGCAAAACACATGTTTTTTTTGCTGAAAATGCATTTGTCCTTGCAAAAGGGTACAGACACACATGTTCAGCTTCACCAACCAAAAAAGTGACTTGAAGAGGCCGAGGCGCAGGTGTCAAAAATAAAATCCAAGGGGCTGGACCTTTTTTTGACTGAATACTTGCGGGATAATCTTCAAAGGCTGACCCCACAGGAAAAAAATCCATCTCCAGGCCAATCATCCACAGATAGGACATGATGGGACGAATTCAAGAATTTTGTGTCAACGCGCCCAAATTGCAAAACAGGCGTTTTTTTTTCTGAAAAGACATTTGTCCTTGCAAAAGGGGTACAACCACATATGTTCAGCTTCACCAACCAAAAAAGGTGACTTCAAGAGGCCGAGGCGCACGTGTCAAAAATAAAATTCAAGGGGCTGGACCTTTTTTGACTGAATACTTGCGGATGATCTTCAAAGGTTGGCCCCACAGGAAAAAAGTCGCATCACCAGGCCAATCATCCACAGATAGGACATGATGGGACGAATTCAAGAATTTTGTGTCAACGCGCGCGCAAATTACAACACATATGTTTTTTGCTGAAAATGCATTTGTCCTTGCAAAAGGGTACAACCACATATCTTCAGCTTCACCAACCAAAAAAAGGTGACTTGAAGAGGCCGAGGCGCAGGTGTCAAAAATAAAGTCCAAGGGGCTGGACCTTTTTTTGGCCGAATTCTTGTGGATGATCTTCAAAGGCTGACCCCACAGGAAAAAAATCGCATCACCAGGTCAACCATCCATAGATAGGAAATGATGGGACGAATTGAAGAATTTTGTTCCAACGTGTGGCCAAATTGCAAAACAGGCGTTTTTTTCCTGAAGATACATTTGTCCATGCAAAAGGGTTGTGCATTGCCGTGGGCATCTGCCGGACCGCACTCGTGAAGCCGTGGACTCTGAAAAACTGCGAGCTGTCAGCCGGGAAGTCAGGTGCCAGGAATTCATTTTTTTCCGTATCGGATTGAGGGGGGGAAGATATGGCATGTTACCAACGCAAGCATCCAGGAAATATTTTTTTACTTGGATATGAGAGGGGTAAATTTATTGGATGTTGGACGATGGGCACCACGAAATTAGCAAAGAAAATTCAAAAAGGTGGTTGGAAGTGAGATTTCGGCTTCAGAGGTTAGGAGCCAGGAATTTAAAGCTCTAAAACCTCTCTCAAAGGTTAGGGGTCATCATTTTAGACCGATTTTTTTTCTAGGACTGTACCCCACGTTTTTGTACCGACGGGGATCAACAATCATGTAGAGAGGACACATCATTTCTGGTCATTTCCAACAGAGAGAGAGAGAGAAACAGTTCTGGACCTCCAAAGCCTAGTGTCATCCATCTCCCCGTCTTGAAAGATCTTGACAGCATGCGAGCAAAAAAATGATGGAGCCGGTGGAAACCCTGTGACCCAGGATTTGAATTATATGACAAGAAAAGTGTTTATGCCAAACCCTCAGCAGTTTTTGAAAGGTCGTGATCTTCCAATTCAATCGACTTGACGATCTGAATGGGGTAGGTACACATGTATCATCATAAAGGTTATGACCCAGGAAAAGAGTTGTGTCAGCGCAATGGTGGGCCAGGAGACATGTTAGTCCACATAAAGGTTGTGGAACAGGATTTTAATTTGTTTGCCCGGGAAATTGCAACTTGGTTGTTGGCTTAAATCTGTTGGGTTGTACCCTTTGGAAATCAATTCCAAAAGGTTGTGGACCAAACGATTTAAGGCATTTTTTTTCAGGACTAGACCCTTTTGAGCGGTACCACGGGCTATCTATAATTCTGGCACCCGCTGTATACTGTGTATACCCTGCGAACCTAAACCCTATAAATTTGTAGGGTTTTTATGTAAACCCTGGTTTAACCCGTATCATGAGTAAATACCTAGGGTTTACTCCTAAAACCTCGGGTATCCACTTAAACCCTTAAAATATGATGAAATATCATAAAATATCACAATACCCAATCCCTTGGGGTGCCACCGCGCTGTTGCACAGGATGTGGTGCAGCTCTGGCTCTGACGTGGGATGGGCCCAAATGGGGCCAAATGATATCCATATAGAAACTCGATTCCCAATTCAGATATATATAATCATTATATTCAGATCAACCCCACACAGTGCAACAGGATACCAGATCTGTAATTTTTTGTGTCATTTATAAAGGAACAAAGTTAACTCTACATCGAGATCTAAGCCCATTGATTCAAGTAGTATACTTTTCCTTTTTGGCCCACTTTGAACTGATGGAATCATTCCCGGCATATCGCTGTGGCGGCCAGTCTTTCTCCGTGGGCATGCTCGTGCCAAACAGTCTGGCTCCCAAGCAATCCTGGAGCCGTGGCAACAGGTGCCCCCCACAAAAAAAACAATGTATATCGATCTATATTATTGAGAAATTGGTGTTCTTGTGTGTTCTTTGGGTTTCCTGGTTCATGTTTGGATATTTAAATCCGTAGATCGAGTATGCAGGGGCCAATGTGAATGCATGCATGTGTTGACATGGCCAACATGTGCAATCATGCGTGAAAAGAAATTTACAAGGTGCACAAAATTTCGCAGGTGTATTTACAGCCCAAGTCGGGGGCAAATTCCATTGGCCCATGGCACGCAATCTGAGAAAGAAGACCCAGCCACCCTTGGAAGTTCTGGACGTGAAAGGGCTTTGCGAGGAGTGGGATGCTTGTGAGGAAATCAGAGATCGCCTGCGGCAAGGAAATACCTTTCTTCACCCCGATACAAAAGATACAGTAGACGGATGTTGCAAGAATTCCGCCATACTAGTTCCAATTCTTACCAGGATGGCTGTTTTGGAGTTCAAGTCTTTGCCACCGGTGGATCCGCTTCGAGTTGAAATTGATGATTTGTTGGTGAAAAACAAGAGGGGGAATGCCCCCGAACAAGAACATGATGTTGTCAAAGCTTCTTGGCGCGTCAAGAAGCTCTGCAGCTTTGTAAAGATGAAGACCCGTCGTGGAGAAGTAAGCACAGTTACTTGACCATCAATTTTCAAACTATCACGCATGCCTTTTGCATTTGTGAGTTGGCAGGTTTCCTTTGACAATTATATTCTGGTTTAGTCCAAAGTGCAAAACTCTACCAAGCCCGGTTTGAATCCCAGGTTGAAACTTTCCAGGATATGTGCTTGATCCTTGATCCTACTTTGCAGGCGGGATGTTCTATTCAAAGTCCTTCTTAGTATCTGGGGGAATTGTACGTATTCAACACCTTGCATATCCCTGTTGCTACACCACACAATTTGTTCATTTTGGACCGAAGTTTAAACAGGAGGGGTTGACCCACACATGTCATGCAGGAAATGGTGGACGCCATCAACGAGAGGAAAAAACAAAAACTCATGGTCCAGCAGGATGGGCTGTGTGAGGGTTTGGGGCGGTTGATCCAAAATGGTCCTGGGTTTCTATCTAACATCATTTGCAGAGAAACTCAATGTGGTCATCACGGAAAGCACTGCCTGTATACACCCATGTGCATATATATATATATATGTCAACATCGCATTAAAGTGCATTTCATCTTGTTCGGAAGATTTCAATTTTCAAGTCAAATTTCGATTGCTTATACTTTTTGATTCAGGAGGAAGATGAAGATGAATGGGATGAGCAAGGAGAGGAAGAACCACAGGAAGAGGACGAGGAGGTAGAAGTCAATGCCAACGAACGTGCAAGGGTTTCGGGTCAACAGACTGAACCGGAAGATGTTTCTAAGCAAAGCACCGCAACTGAGAAGGAAGCATGTGGGGACACAGCAACCCCAACCACCCCGAAGGCAGAAGTAATCCCTTCCAACCCTGACCCACAAGCAGCCCCATCCAACCCGGACCCAAAAGCTCCTGATGTTGGTAGCAATGTTGGGGAACTGACCAAGCAAGAAAGTGGAAAGGAAATCAAAACAAAGAGCTCGCAAGTTGAGGAGTCAAAGAACAAGCAACAGCAAGCGGCAGCAGCAGCAGAAGCACCAACAAACAAAGGAAGTTGCCCTGCAAACAGTATCTTGGCTCTAGCTCTCCATGGAAAAATATTTGTAATGTTTGAGATGCCATTAGCAATCAATCGCAATTATTAATATAGGTTCCAATCTATCATAATCTATATCTTCCTGTTTGGCGCCTATACATCACTGTCTCTGAGGTAAGGAAGACTTGGCGCGGAAGCGGGCTGACATTGAGAGAAGACTCCGACTGTGTTTGGGCTGATCAATTAATTTCGGGTATCAACCCAATTGATTTGTTCTAGCATTTAACCTTTCAAATCCCCAGTCATTTCCAAGTACTCCCATGTCTCTAGCATTTTTTTGTGTTGCACGGTTTCACGCCATGTGGATGCCAACATTTTGGAGAGGCAACATCCCAATTATGTATTTCATCTACTTGCAACATCTTGCAACATCCCAGGGTCCAAGCAAAGAAGAAGGAGTTGGAAGAGGCAGACAACCCCATCAGAGCATGTGCCCCATCGCCACCTCTCAGTGGTCACACAGGTTCCGTTTTTTTTTTGCAGGGGGGTTTGCGCAGTTGAATGTGACACTTCTTTCTTACAAAAGGGTTTGATGAGTGTAAATGTGTTTTCATACGGTTTTGACCGGGTATATCTTAAGTAAAGTGTGAATACGGTGTGGTAATTGTGTTTCGCTGTGTATGGAATTGCATCTACTTCATCAGATATAAACATATATTTATACAGTAAGTTCATCAACAACCCACATCATGGACTTACTACAGCTTTTTGCCAGGAGCTCCCGCAGAGTTTCCGAGTGGCAATGATACGTGCGACACGCTGCCATATGAAGCAACACTGGCTGCAACCCCTGAGATCAAAGAGAATTTGGTTTCCCCTGTGCATAGTGCAGATGCTAAAAGAGATGCATACCAAAGAAAACAGGTGAAGGAACGTGTGGAAGGAACATCTTCTGTCGAAGTCCCTACCTTCGAAAACAAATCTACCAATCTTGAGTCCGCTGATGGTTTGGAGTCAAAGGATGAGACTGGTACAAAATCCCCCAAGAAGAAGACCACCCGCAAGAAGATCGATGTGAAAGAAGAACAGTTTTCGACCAGTGAGCAAGAGGCCAGGTAAATCAAACAAATTGTATTCATCACCATATTTTGCAGCAATTGTTTTTGATTACTTTAAATTATTGTCAAAGGAAACATCAGTTTAATCCATCCCTATAACTATACACTTCAATTAAATTGCAGTGGCTTGTTCATTCATGACTGGGTCGTTCTTCCAACTCTTTTCTTTCACTGTTTGTCAGGACCCACCAGCTGAACCCCCGGTGACGCGCAAGAATCAGCTGGAGATGAAGGGAGATCCTGTAACAGGACGAGGAAGAGGACGTGGAAGAGGGAGGGGGAAACCCACTGGGCGGGGCAACAAACCGAACGCAGAAAAAAAGAAACCAAGCAAGGCATCTCAGAAGGTTGCTGAAAAAACATGGGAGCAGGATTGGTCCTGGGACCCTTATATGGATGAGATGGAGGATGAATGGGGTTGGAATCCATCTGGGGATTCTGAATCAGCATGGCCCACTGGTGATGTTAAAGGTGAAGAGGCACAGCCAGAGCCTGCAACAAAACGACGCCGGAAGAGCAAGGAGCCCACACCCTCAGGAGCTTCGAACAAGGCAGACACAAAAGCAGAAAAAACCGAGGTGGCAAAGGGAAAGAACAATGACAAAACCAAAAAACATGTTGCCAAGACCCCGGCAGAAAAGAAAGTTACTGAAAAAAATGCTGACTTGGAGGAAACAAAGAAACGACCCCGCTCCCGTTCAGCAAAAGACAGCAGCAGAAAGGGCAAGAAGCTGGAGCGACTGCCGCCGGCACCTACAACACAAAAGGATCAAAAGCTTGAAATTGTGAAGTTCCTGAGGTTGACAAAAGACCTAACCGAAGACAATGCGAAGGAGCAGTTGAAAGATTTGGTACCAGATTACAAGGGCCTTGGGTATGATGGGACCCTCAACATCTACTGGCTCAGAAAAGGTGTCAAGGGCACAGGCGTTGGAGTTAAATCAGTATCGGAAGGAAAGGACTATGCCCATTTTGGGTTTTTGAGTTGTTCTGACAACTGGATTATCGCCATGGCTACGTCGATCAAGGCAGCAGAAATTTTGGCACCTTACATGCAAACAAGATTTCTAAGATAAGAACACTGCCCACTGTTGCTTGCATCTTTTTCAAAAGAGTTATAGTCGATATCAAATTTTGAGTCACATCTCCAAGCACATGTTCGAAGAATCGTGCAATTTGATTTTCTTTGGGAACATCACCCCACATTGCCCATTCATACGCTTAAGGTACGCTATGTGGATGACACTTCGGAGACTGAGGAAAACAAAGGAGTTTCCCTGCAGGCCAACCGCGATGTCCAGAACATGAAAGAAGCAATTATCATTTCCGGGCGAAAAGCCATCCAAGCGTTTTGCAAAGAAGCCTACTCAAAGGCCTAGTGTCTACCAGTGCAAACGGCACTGAAGGTAACATACATGTTACATGGGGTTGGGGTACTTCGCACAAGCTTCTAGCAATTCAGGGTCGTCCAAATTGAACCCTTTGCGAGCTGAAGCTTTGACTGGCACTTCCGAAATCCAAAGGGAAAAATAAAATCAAGTGGAAATTGTGATCTACAAACATGTGTTGATTACAACGAGAATCCATTTTTCACTCATGTAACACACATGCATTGTACGATGTTGGCATAGGATTCCCTGATGGTGCCACTCTGCAGTGATCGGCTGCAAACAAACCGAGGCAATGGCAAAATCTTGGTGAAAAAAACTTTGGACTGGACATTTGGTGTTGAAGCAGGATACTATTGGGGATTAATGGGGATTATATATTATATTATTGCATGCAGGGTATCATCCAAAGTTTTAGGGACCATCAATTGGCCAGCCAGTTCAATTTTGAGCATTGAATGAGGCTTAAAGGTTTCAAAACCCGAATGCCCACTAAGCGTTCTTTAATTGGCTTGGTTTTGGGCACATGGTTTTCAAAGTCTTTTATCTTTTAGGATTTGTTTCCATTCCCCATCCACGCAGTCCTTCAATCTCCATAGCCATGCAAGCTTATACCCAAAGATCCTGAGAGCGGAGGCTGAAACAAATGGGGTTAGGCCACTGTACTTTTGTTGAGCACTTTGGGGCATGAATCTATCCCAACAAATTGAACTGTTTAAGACATCTATAAAATTCATTCATTAGAATCCTACAGTCATTTGATTGTATATAAACCTTCTACACTTACCCTGATAGTTAGGGCAACCAGTTTTCCCAGCTTACATCGGCCGAGGCCATGCCATTCCGACTATCTGCGTCGCAGCGCCGGAACCTCTACCGGGTCAAAGTGGATGTGAAAAAATGTCATCCCTGGCATATATTATTTGAAAACTTGATCCCATGGTCCATTGTTTCAGGTTAAGTCAAGGCTGGAATCTTCAGCAATTGTTCTAAATTCAGTTGGATTTGGCTCAGTATGAAATTCAGGGGTCAACCAATGAGTGATCAACAACAACTCAAATCTATAGAGATCAAACCATATAAAACGTATATTATATATAATATACTACTGTTATACGTAATTTCACCTCATGCGCTTCTCAGATCAGAATATGTTTTTGGAAACCGGCTTAGCTACAACGTGTGAACTCTACTGGAGTGATTGAGCCATGGTGAACCTTGACACCTTGATGTGGCGGCTCAGGGCCCTACATCTTCCCAAGGCGTTTCGTTCTGATTTCAATTCGACTCAATTTCACCATAATATAATATTAGTTGATCCAATTCACTTGTAAGAAATCAGACCACCATTTTTCGATGCTGCTGATATCTTAACTGTCCCTTATAAAATATAACGATCAACATTGTACTCTTAAGCCCACTGCGCAGCCAAGCTTCGTCGCAGACCTTTGTTCAATGCATTTTGCTCCTTGTGTGGGCATATCCGGTTGACGAGGCTGGAATCGGGGCCAACGGTTCAGCAAAATTCGAACCCATTGATCTATAGGGCAGCTTTTGTACTGTGAATCCAAAAATTGGGGACGCCAGCACTGACGCACATGGATGTGCAGGAAGTGGAGTGGATAGAGTTCTTTGCGGGACTTGGAAATTTGACTGTGATGATGAAAGCTTGTCAATACCCCAGTCTACGATTTGATGTGATTGATCACCGGCAATCCCCCAACCGGGGATCAAACTTCATGGACTTATCCCATGCATCTGGGTTTGCGTTTCTTGGCATTAAATTACCACAAGTTTACAAACCGTTGACATTTTCTGGTGTTATTTGCAACACTTATATATCAGGGTGGTTCTAAACTTTAAAACCACAAATTTACTTTAACGACAATCCATGCATGATTGGTAGAAACCCTGAACGTCCTGATCCCTCATATCCAGCTGAGGCTCGCTTTGCTGGCCATTTTGCGGTGCAAAGCCCACGACTTTGCAGCCCACCTCGGAGTAAAATGCAGCAGCTTCTGCAAGGTCAATACTGGAACGTCTCGAAGATCAGCGTGCAATTCCCTGGGTCATTTTATATACCCCTCTGTTGGATTGGCCAACTTGTTACTTGAAAGGACCGCAAAATCAAAGAACTTGAAAGTGTAGGAATATCTCGAAATGTCTTTTTTGATGGCATTTGAAATCACTCAAAAAACCAAGTAAATTCAGTAGGGTATTGGATGCACCCTTCTGCAGGACATGCCTGATGGTTTTGCTCATCACCGCGATGGGCGGCGTGTGGACGCTAGAGCAGCCAGGAGGGTCACTTTTGGAATTTTATCCAACATGGAGGGCAACAATGGGCTACATCTTCGAAACAGGGGGTGATTACGCAGTACTCTACTTAGTTGTCGATATATAGTTCGATATGGTTCGATGATCACTGTTGAGTTTCACCTGGGGTCCAATCTCATATTCCTTTGAATTTCATTATTGGGGTTTCAAGTAAGGTCCAATGCGTACGTTGGTGGATGGGGCATTATTCCGCCAATACACCTAAAAGGCATTTTGCCTACGGAAACACAAAAATGATCTTGGGACTTGACCGCGGTGTTCTTCGAAAGTGGAAGCCCCCAAATGGGAAGAAAGTGGCTACAGCAAAGCGCTATGTTGACAAAGCAGGGAAAACACGGTGGCAGGGTACAAAAGCCCTTCGTGCTACGGAGAGACTTGGTTGTTTTTGGTTCCATCCATGAATTTTCAAGCCCTTGACTGTTCAGGAAAATGTGTTCACAATCAATTGTGCATATTAGAATTTGAGGAGGATTCCGTGCCCATTGCAATTACAATTATTTGGGGTTTGAATCCAAGGACTATTTGATTTAAACAATATAATATCCGTCCTGTCTGGTAGCCCTTTTGCCAAGGCACTACCCAATGGCATTTGCACGAGCAGTGGCAGATCGGATAGAATCCATGAAGGCTACACGCCGAGGATGTCCTGAGGTTCCAAATGAGGTCCCGCCAGCTCTACATACCTTTACTGCCATGGAATGGCAAGAAGACGATATTTGGAATTTTTCAGGGTTAACTGATGTGTATGAATACCTTCGGGGTTGCAAAACTGTACAGATTCCTGAGCCCTGGAAGGAGTACTTTCCGAAAAAGCTTTCCTAGGAAGCTGTTGGAATGGTAACCTGTAGCATTTCTATGATTTTCTATGTTGTCCCCAAAATTGTCTCAATTCAAAATAGGACCACAGTGGATTCCCTCCTGACAAAGACCTGAAAGAAATGCAATGTGAAAGATTTTTTGGGAAAAAAGTAGGGTTTTAGATTTTCCATTTTTTTTACCCGTATTGAACCCGTATTAACCCCGTATTATATCCGTTTAAACCCGTATTTTTTTGTGAAAACCCTAGGTTTCGGTGACAAACCCTGGGTTTCCCCAACCCGTATTAACCCCGTATTTACCCCGTATTAACCCCGTATTTAAATATGGGTTTCAGGGCCCCCCCAACAGTTTCATTTTGAAGCTGATTTCAATAGATTTAATTTGGAATAAGTCAGGATGGTTGGATTTCCGGCTGTCCTAAAAGTTGCACGTGCGTTGATGACTTCACAATTAGATGGTACTCAAGACATCAACAGCGCTTGGGTAAAAAAAGTTTCGATCTACTCCAGAAAGATGGGTTCTAGAGCCATCATAGCTCCATTGAATCTGTACATCAGTGAATCAGTGAGCGTGTACTTATTGGAAATTTGCATTGACTTCTGAGGCCATTCAGTTTCCTTTAGGGTGGTTACACATACGGTGTGTTTTGCCCAAAGCAATGGCAAGCACTTCGACTGGGTGGAGCTGTGCCACCCTTCACGATGGGGTGGTGGTCCTGGATTTGAATCTTGAAGAACAAAGACTTTTGAAGCAACTCGAGGAACCCTGAAACAAGAGTGCTGTTTTCAATGGGATACTTTCAGCTGTGGTATGTCATATACAACCCCCATAATTCAACATGCATCATGGTTATTTATGTCAGGAGATGGATGAAGAAATGAAGACTCATGGTGAAGCAGATGCAAGCCCTGCTAGAGCCTGAGCAATTTTGAATCAGTAAGCTTATATGCATTCCTTTATTGACAGCCTATAGTTCAGGCCAACGCAGAGGATTCCCTGCAAATGTCAGAAACCATACCGGTCCAGATCTCGGAGATTCCATGTTGTTGTTGTTGTTGTTGTTTATGTTGAAATTTACATCTCAATTTACATCTCATCTACAGGACCCATCATTATATGCTATAGCTGAAGTTGGTGTACCTCAATTCTTCCCCAACTGGTGGAACCAAGAAACCCCATACTCACCCAATGCGACGAGGCAACTCCAGAAGAACTTCAAGCTGCTGGCATCTCCGTCCTGAAGGAGAAGGTGGATCCCTAAGTTGTATGTGAGCAAATGCCGTATAGATTTGTCAGAACATATATTTCATAATTCCATCAACCTTCAATGTCTTCACCAAAGAAAATGGGTCTAGTGTATAGCTAAGGATGATAGCCAAGAGCCTACAAAGACGTTGGAATCCCAGTCACATGAGACTAAGACCATTGCTACTCCTGCGAGAAGCAATACACAACTGAGAGTTGAACCAGTGGAAGTGGAGCCATCTATGGGCACCAAGTTGGATACCGAACAGATTTCTTCAAAGGACCCTCCACCCGAGTCAGAAGGCAATGAGGTGTCTCCCCAACAACTGGCAGCAGAACCGCCAGCTGGTGAAACCAAAGACGAATCCACTGCCCTAGCTGGACAAGCCGACGTGTCCCGCAAGGCCATTGATTGTCGATCATGTCTAAAACTTTGGTGGTCATTAAAATCAATTGCAAATGGGGTTCAATATATATGATATCGATACTGAAATATATCTCTGATAAAAACATGTTTTAGTCATACCAGACTTTTGACCAAAACAAAGAACCGTATCCAGCCCGAAGGCCAAACTGCGGAGTGCGGCCAAGAGTCGCATCAACCGCTGGGTGAAGCCGCACAGTCGCCGATCGGAGCTCAATGCTCCTGAGTGGTTGGTTGAGCAGTGGAGAAATGGCTGTAAGAACGACATTGCTGACCTGTTGAGCCAAGAGAATTTCAACAAGGATTGGTCCACCCGTTTATGTTTCAAACATATGAGTCATGAACTGAAGATTTCAATGGGCCTGCACTGTTAGTCTTTGAGACCTTAAAAATAGCACTGATCTGGCAGGAACGCTTTTTGAATAAGCTCTTGATCAGCGTAAAGAAGCAGCAAAAGGTTGAGCTTACCAAAGAACAGGGCTGGTTCTCAGAGGGTGAGCTTACGGAGTTGGGTTGGTCAAAGTCTGGGTCTCATTTTTGAAATTGGTGCAAGTATCAGAACAATCAAATGTTTTTCAGAATTGGATCGGTTCAATCCCCAACATACTTTATGAAGTTGCACTGCATGGTTGGCTCTAGGACCAAGATCGACGGTGCCAAAGCCAAGTGCAAAGCGATGGGCCAATCTCACTTTAGGCAGTGGTTTCTCTTTGAATTCTAAATTCTAAATGTTATCTTCAACCGTGTTCAACCTTTAAAGCAACCAGCAAATGATAGCAAATCTGATTTGTAGGCAGAATGAGTACGACGGTGTGGATGAGATGTGGGTCACGATCAAAGAAACTGGGAAAAAAATTGAGTCTACTACTTACGAGGAACTTCACCAGCAAGAGCGTGAGGCCCGAAGAATGCATTCCTTTTTTCAGAATCCTATGTGCCATATACACACTCAATAATCCTGTAGCAGTCTTGGGTGGTACTTTCAAACTGCTGCAAGGCCTCTGGTGAACCTACTTGTGACTTTGGCGATGGTGGCAAGTTTGCCATGATTGAAGCTGACAGGGCCAGGACTTCTGTGAAAGCGCAGGTTGCCAAGGAACCCCCGAACCAGCAAAGCAAATTTGCCCAGGCACCGCATGTGAACAAACCTTTTTTTATTCTCATTCTACAACATGGGTTGTGCTATTCCGAAAATCTTTGGCGCCATATTGATCATCAGGTATTTCTTTGAGTCATGGATTAAACTTATCGACATCAGTCTTAAGATTTATATCCATGGTTCTACTTGCACATGCACATCTTTCCTGTCAGTCGAAAGAAGCCCTGAAGAAATTCATGGACTCCTTGATTTCCAGAACGGGAAAGTTGAGAAGCTTAGCACGTGATTTGGAAACCAAGTTTGATGATCCAGCTGCCACCTCGTGCCCCAGCCGCATGACCCATCATGCCAAGATACACTCCACAACTCCACAACGTCCGCTCCATTCCATCAGCTCGCATTGCCGAGGTGCATCAATTCCTTAAAGACGCAGATCCAAAAGGTTGATGATGCATATGACTCGTGCATGAATGCATGGTCCAAGGGTGAAGCAGAGGGGTTCTTTACAGAGGGGCTGCTCAGTTTACTTTGCGATGAAACGCACAAAACACTTCAAAACAATTGGATGAAATACACAAAACACTTCAAAGCAATTCGCCAATACCTAAATATATATATCCAGCTTTATACTCACAGATTTTTAGTCACACACTTACTACTGAGGTTTCACAAGTCCGCAGAAGAAAAAATGAAAACAGCCACATATGTGTCCAATCCTCGAAAGGGTCTGAAATGCTAACGTGTAAAATTGCCGTCAAGCATCGTCCAATGGGAATATTGCCCAATTCCAACAGTCCTTGGCTCGCCCAGGTGTGCAACGGCAAGCGGAGTGGAAATGAAGATCAGGACTGGGCGGGGTTTGCTTTCAGTAGAAATGTTGTCCTTGGTTTCATTTATATTATTCATTCAACCCATGCCCCATACAGTATATGTTGATGCAAAGATGAAACCTTATATATCATTACAGTATATCATTGCAAGGGTTCCTCCATTGACAAATTTACCGGCAGGAACGCAAAAAAGTTCTACAAAAAGAAGGACACCCCTGGCCGCGCATCGGTTCGTACGCGTGGCCGTGATGATGGAAATGAGGAAACTGAACCGGATGCCAAACGTCCTAGAAAATCTAGTGGTGCCAAGCCTAAGGCCAAATCGGCATCTAAGGCCAACAAAAAGAAGTAAAACTTCTGTTTTGGAGAAAAATGATCATTGCATGTCCAGGACATGCAGTGCGGGTTCCTGGGGTTACTGCGCACCCATGGGTTCTTGTGATATATATCCAACCCATCAAATAACACCCCCAAACTTGTTTTATATATGTGGTACAACTATTAAAAAAAATATTGTTTTAGGTGATGGTACTTGCCTCGAATGAAGCTCAGCCCCTGGATGGTGCAGTGCAGCCGGCTATATGGAATATAGCCGGTCCCCGGCGTTTACATGGCAAGTGTGGTTTTTGCCACATTTCTGAACATCAAATTTCTGAGTCTTTGGGAGCGACATGCGAACAGCAAAGGGATGGAAAAAATGCATTCAATCTTCATTGGGTGTTCCACTTTTACTTGAACATGTTTGTCAACTGACAGGCCAAAACTAAAACAAGCCCCGATGACATTAGTCAAAACCGGTTTCCCGAGACTTTGCCATGACAGGTCAAAAGCCAGGTCACACCATTCGTGGATTTGCCAAACGAGTTGGTGAAGGTGTCCGGAACTCATTGATGCGCTATGGATCCTGCAAAGTATCAGAAAGATTCCAGGGGAAAACAAATTTTCCATGTGGTTGGCACTTTGGTTCAAAAAAAAAAACTATACTTCGGAATCATTTGAAAGGGGAGTTAGATGGAACGAAACTTAGATCTCAACGTTTTCAATTTCCAGACATGATAACATCTATGCATCAAGTATCCCAACAGCTATATATAGCCTATATAGAGTGATTATGGATTTTTCAGCGCCATGGAAACTGCGCATGATGAACTGTGGGATTTGCTCACATGCCACCGTTCTGAGCCTTATCATGCATTGGTTTATTTTTGTCTTTTGTATGAAGATCTTACTCCTCTTATATAGTCCAAAATGTTTTTGCAAACGCCCCCAGATTTAAAGAGTTTTTGCACGCTGTGAAAATACAATTCATATTTTGTTTCATAATATTTTTTCTTTTGAGAAGATATTGAGATCCATGAATTTGTGTTATGAATAACATCGGGAGTATACATCCCACACAGAATATCCCAGTAATCAACACATTCTAACACTATATATAACCCAAACCTCAGCTCAGGATGCCGAGATGCCATTCCCATGGACCAGGGATACCGAGACCCTCAAAGTGACTGCCAGTGAGAAGGTGTTCACTGAGGGTACAGATCCCAAAGTCAAACGGCAGAAACTAAATAGCAACTCTGTTGACCTAACCAGTATGCCCTGGTTGTCGCAGTTGGTTTCACCATGCCAACCCTTGGGTTGCATTGACTTTAACGTGCCAAAACCAGAAAGTACAGCAGGAAGTGTTCTTAAACACTCCCAACGGGTAGTTGAGTCTTTGCTTCGGCATCATGGGCCTTGCACCTACAAGGTAGGATGGACACACAACCCGGCTTGGCGATGGGCAAATGATATTTACGGCTATCACCGAGATAGAGATCGATGGCAAAAGATGATCGTATTTTACGTGTCTCAAGAACCAGCTGGACCAGCGATGCTGGAAGCAGCACTTGTCGACCAACATATGGGTGACTCGCCTTCCTTGAAGGATGAAACAATATTGGTTTCAAAATGTTTCAAAATACTACGAAGATTATTATGTATAGAACTTATAGTTGGGGTTGTTACTATAAATGGATAGACAGGTCTGAATCGTCAAAACAAACCAAGAAAGCATCATTTTTTGCCACCAAAAAAAAATGGTTCCAGAATGTTAGAGGCAACCCCTCGAGAGTTTTTTGGGGGTTTCGAAGCTCCACCACCCCGACTCTGACACAGGAAGTCCTGGATGCAAAAACATCAGAGCTGGTGGAGATACTGCGACTCCACCAACCATGACCTCACACCGCTGGTATGCGACCTATGTTGTGTACAGGTCCTTCAAATATCCACCTCCTATCCCGAAGTTGGAAAAAATTAGCAATTCGTTCGTGAATGCGCACTAAAAGGTGCAGGATTCAGTGGATGCCTTTGTTGAAAAATGTGAATGCCCAAGTTCGGCGCAAGCATCCACACAGCAAATCATCCCGTAAAGTTTCAGAATCCTCAAGCTCCACGTTTTTCATGAGTTTGGAAGTTTGACCTATATATTTATAAGGTGATCATTTTTGTTTAATTTTGTTTATGAACCCCATCCCTGTATATTATAGACCGATCGGTTTCTATATTGTTTTTCTTGGTCGCCGAGGCCTCTTGTCGATCTGCCATCGACGCTGCCCGCAACATAGTGGCGGATCTTGGTCCGACCGCTGTGGCTAGATCGGGTGGGTTGACCGAACTGGCCAAGTGTTCGGACACAAATTCAGAAAGAGGTTGCAAGAGCATCATGGTAAAAAAGTTCCGTTTGGCATTGCCAATTCAGAGGTCATATCTCAAAACAGATGATCCGTCTCTCCGCATTCCAGTTCTGCCGAGGACCAGCTGGGCAAATTTCCTGGCCACCAACAACTGCTGGCATGTACTTTGTGGCTTGACGAAGCCAGACAAGAGACGGGAGGAGGCCATTTTGGCCAAGTTTTGGGGCAACTTCAAAAAAAGCTGCCCCACGCACGAGGTCTTCAAGTTGGCTGAAGAAGGTGTGTTGCAGCTGCAACACACGGCTCCTGTTGTGCTGCATGGCGATGAAGGTCGTGGCAGAAAACATCGAGCCTACATGGTAGTAAGTTTTCGAGGATTGCTGGGCCGTGGTGTCGAGGTGTCAAAAAACACTATGTGAAGCAGAAGTGCAATTACATAGGTCACAGCTACACCACCAGGTACTTGCTTGCAGGGCTGAGGAAGTCAGACTACACTGGCTCGAATCACCACGTTTTCCGGTCTTTGTTGTCTTTTTGTGCTACAGAGGCACAGTCGATGTGCACAACAGGGTTCACAGATCGACAAGGAGTGCAGCGGTGGATGATGATGCTTCACATCACAGGAGATTGGCAATTCCTTCACAAGTCGGGAAGCTTCAGCAGAAGCTTCCACAACTGCCAAAAGAACAAGGTTCAGCAGGCTGGTCGTGGAATTTGTCACCAGTGTCAGGCAGGACAGCCACATGCTCCATTCGAACAAATTGCAACAAGGCGACCTGCGTGGCTGCAGACAGAGTTCGTGGAGTGCGCATTTGAGGAACCTACACCCTTCCGGATCTTGCCTCATGTTCCAGGTCAGCTGGAAGCAATGTGGGCTTTTGACTTCTTCCACACTTGGCACCTCGGCGTGGCAAGGGTTTGGATTGGCTCAGCTCTGGCCATGTTGGCACAGCTGCAACATGGCAGCAGCATCGATGACAGGTTTGCTGCCCTGTCTGATCAATACAAGCAATGGTGCTTCCAGCACAAGTGCCGTGCCCACATCCAAAAGCTCACAAAGGACTGCATTGCCTGGCAAAAAACAACTTTGTTCCCATGCGGAACATGGCACAAAGGGGAGCTCACAACTGTCCTGATGAGGTTCTTGGAGCATGTCCTGACGGTAGAGAGGTTCCCTGATGAGCCTTTGATGGAGCTTGTTCGGCAGGGCACAGTTTCAATCAACAAGTCCATCAGCAGAATGTACAAATCAGATTTGTGGCTCACACGAGCTGAGTGTTTTGAGATCTCTGGTTTAGGTTTGAGATTCTTGCGACGGCTGTCTGAGCTGGCGCATCAATGTTTCATTCAAAGGAGAAATTTGTTTTGCTACATACCAAAGGTGCACGTGTTGCAGAAAATTTACCTTAGGGTCCATACCGCTGCAATTAACGGCACTCCCCAGCTGAACCCGCTGGGGTTGAGTGTACAGCAATGTGAAGATTTCATTGGCCGCGGCTCCCGTCTTAGCAGGCGGGTAACTGCTGGCCGATTAGCTTCTGATAGGGTAATGGACAGGTACTTGCAAGCCTGCTACGCTCAGTGGCTCCAGGCTAAATACTTAATTAGACCAGTTTGATATCTCGAGCGTTTGCTTTCTGAAGTTCCCACCAAGTAATGCTTGAGCCATCTACATTAACCGATCGGTCTTATGCATTACCAACAAACTAATCAAACTATAGGCCTTACTGGGTATGAGTGAAAGTTATATTGTGCCCCATCTATCGAGATGCTCGGGATCCAGATCACTCAGGCTGCAGCTGAGACGCAGTAGAAGACTGGGCGGTGAGAAAAATTCAGCATAATTCAGCAGAAACGGCTACCAATCATAATTGGATAGAAAGTTTGCAAATCATGTAACATGGCAAAACTGCAAACCCTGGGTTTCATTTCAAAACCTCGGGTATTTCTGAAACCCTACGTTTTTCAAGGGTTTTGAAGCTCAAGGTATATATATATATACCCTCTGGTTATTTAACATAGCTATGGAAAATGACCCATTTATAGATGATGTACCTATTAAAAGTGATTATTTTCCATGGCCATGTTAAATAACCAAAGGGTATATATAATATGTCAATGCGTTCATACCATGGATACATATTAAGTCAGATGGGACATTAGGCTAGTCACCTGTTAGCAAACGGATTATCATCGGGTTTTCTTTTTGTGTGGGGTCATTACCGGCTAACACCGGCTACTTCGCTCATCTTGCTGGCACCCAACAGCTGCCGACAGCTGCCCGCATGCGTGCGTTTCCAAAGGTGAAGACTTGAAAAAGACCGGTGCACTGCAAAGATTTCAAAAGACCATGGTATACAACATCTTACAACGCTTTGACCTGAACTTACCTGAATCTGTTGGCTGGATTCGCATGGTATAGGCTGCTTGCTGGTTTTATGGAAAAACGCCGACTCCGCCTGACCGGCTGAGGCTTGAATATTGCAGCTTGGCAGAGCTTTTTGGAATCCGTGACCTTCGTGATTTCTGTTGGCAAGTCCCCCAAGCTGGGGGCACTCCTTCATAAGTGGTTGTAACCATGCCATATTTATATATTATGTGTCATGATCAAACGGATGATTTTATAATATTTTATACGCATACCACCATGAACAGGGGATTGTAATGGCCAACAGAAGGATTCAAATAACGGTTGCATGGCCATGGCCCCCATGCGTTGACCATGGCACAACATGGCTCAGCATGGCGCAGCAAGTGGCTGGAAAGCCTATGGGGGTTCCATCTATCTCTGTTCAGTGGAAGATATTGGGTATGGATCAATACCTATGAATACCATTTTTAGGGGGATGAACATCCATTTACCAGCTATTTTGATGTTCACCAGGGGTACAAGGTTTTGACACACTGCCATATTGGACAGTAGACCTCATAGCATGGCCCATCGTTGTTTTCCAACTCTCAGAAGTTCTTCGACTCGCAGCATCGCAGCTCTGAGGCAATGGTGGGGATTTCGGAGACAAGGCCGTCCAACTGGAACCGTATACGGACCCAGCAATGGAATCAACCCTCAATCCTATCTGTTTTGAAAAACTGGCTGCAATGAAGAGAGGAAAGTATTAAAAACACTTGAGTTTTCTAATTGATTTTGTAATCGTCTTTTTTTTTGTCTTGGGCTAGGGTGGGAGTAGTGTACCCCAGTAAATCAACTCATGTGCTTATTCCCAGGAACACATGTATACTTGGGACGTTGGGCCCAAGGAATCTAATCCCCACCCTCATTTATGATATAATCCTGGTTTGGTGCTGGATCACTTCATCTTGGGGTCGCTTATAAATTGAAGGTATCAGAAGGTATCAGAGGGTATCAGAAACATTTTGGGGGCTGGGATATGCTGGGATTATATCATATCTTGATGAGTAAATCCCATTAAATCCACAAGAATTGAAGTTTGAACATACCTGGATGCACCTCAAAATCCAGTGCTTTGTGATTCATGATCATTTTATATCATTTTATATCATTTTCCCCTATCTCCTACTCCCCCAACATATCATAAAGCCACGTTTAAAATGGCGAAATTCAGCCTGCAGGACCTGCACCCGCCACCCCCTACCAGGTGAAAGAGAAGGGCTTGGACTTGGCTGAGACGATGGCCGCTGAGTGGATGTGCACTGGTCCAAATTTTCGTGGGATGGCGGGATGTGTGACGATGATAGGCCCATGAATGGGCCTATTATCGGGCAGTTTTGGAATAGATAGGTTGAGATGATAAGAAGGTTAACTAGAACTTAATTCTGAAAAAATGTGGTAGGTAGATAGCTAGATAGACAGCGAGATATAGATAATGATAATGGCGTGAACTAAACCAAAGAATATCAAAGAACATTTATTTGGCTTGGGGCACCACAACGCAATCCCCTTCTGTAAGTAGCCAAGCATGCAGGATCTCAATTACAAGATGAAGTCATTTACCTAAGATACACGTTTTCAGGGAATGCATTCCAGGAGTTGGTTTTAAGGTTCATTCCTTGGTGCTCACTTCTCAGTAATTCATCAACCCTACACGATTGGTTCCAAACTAGGTGGTCCCCAAGAACTGGTTTCCACACGGGTGAACCATTGGTACGCTGCGCATCGCTGCGCTACGCCCCTCGCCACAGGTACCAGATCGTCTCAGCCATTTGGGTCTTGCATTGCTTCCCAGCAGCAATTGGCACCTCCAGAGTCTTGAACCCAAAAGAACACGATAATTACCCTTTTCATTGAGTTCAAACCAAAATGCCGCCTACTTGAAGCTCCCTGATCTCCCTGTGTTGACTAACCATCGCTGAGGCAAGAACATTTGCCACAGAGATATCAAGCCAGACAACTTCATGGTCCATGATGAGGTGTCGACTATGCTGTCATGAAGAATGGATCTGACCTGGCCACACATGTTGAGTTTTGTTGATATCGAACCAGTTTAACAACGACCTACAGGATCCTACAGGCATATGCGGCATATCACATTCAACCGACATTTATTTCGGAAGTCTGTCTGAAGCCGCTGTTTGGCTCGCTGTTTGGCATACGATTTAAGTGGCTGTGCAAAAGAGAAAACTAAGAAAAGCCCACTGAAATTTTCCCTGGAAGATGATCTACCAAACCTGCAGAGAGAGTCGCATCCCCCAAATGACGTAATCGGTAATCTACAAAAGAAATGTCAAATAAGCATGTTTGATTATATAATTCTAATTAGTCAAGTGGTTTTTATTTGTTGTTCAAACCCTCCCCTCATGACGAGCATACTTTGTGAAAAATGCCCTAGCCTTCCAGTTACCTCTAAGCTGGGCCAGAGTGATTTTACCTTGTGAGATTTTGTTTGGTTACCTATTTGACAGGTGACTGGAAAGTGAGGGATGGATAAACCCACCATATACATCCATATACATCCATAAACTCTAATAGTTTATAGATAAACTGCAAAAAGAACATGAAATCCCATAAATAAATATAAATAAACCACTGTATGGAGGTTTCCCACTAAAATGGGGGCACCCCTAAATCATCCATTTATAGAAGGGTTTTCCAATATAAACCATCCAGCTATTGGGGTACCCCCATTGATGGAACCCCCCATATAAGGCCACTATATAAGCCCACCATAAGCATCCTACCAGTGCAGGTCTTGAAGCTGTCGGACTTTGGCTTGGCAGCCACTTGGTGTCAATATGGCGAGCTGGGACATCTCAATATGGTGAATAGCTGGGAAAATCAACATAAATCAACTATACATGGTGGATTCTGGCGGATTTTCCGGCGCATGTGAAAAATTGGTACACCTCTGTTTGAAAAAATATGAACGTGTTTATGAATATAAATGACTAAACTTCGTATATGTTAAATTACGGGGCTGCATCCAGAAGAATAAAGGGGCTCAAACTATGAACATAGATGGAGGCCATAAGTTCGCCAGCACATATGGGTGTTTAGATTATTATTATTATTATATATATACACATATAATATACACTTATATATATAATATCCCGAATCTGGGTTTGTCCAACAATGGGAGGGGTCAGGGGCACCCCTATATTTCCATGTCACAAAAAGTCATGACAAGGGTGGGATTTGGGCACTTACTGTAGATGGTATTGCAATAATCCCCTTGCCCAGCAAGACTGTGCTGGTTTCCTAAATGGATGTTACTGGGTAAAATGGGTAAAACCCTGGGCTTGCCTAGTACGATAGGGATGTGGTGTCAATGATGCTAGGACCTGCTAGATGGCAAGCACCTTGATAAGGGCGAAATCGCAGAACCCCTACAAGGTGGCACCCCCCAGTTGTTATATCCTGGGGCCCACCTTATAAGAATCTCTGATGAAAGAAAAAGAAGCACTTTTCATTGCAGTTATTCAAAATGATGAGTTCAACCGACTTTGTTTTTGGAGGTGGCTCAACCAATTTTTGACTGACATCAATTGAAATTCGACCATCAATTAAGTATGTAATGTGCTGACTCTTCATATTCTAATGTTTGAAGTATATAACTTGTTGCAAATTATCCCACCATGATATAGTAATTTCATCATAGGTGAAACGGTTAAACTCTGACCCCATCAACCTATAAGATCCTATAAGTGTATCCCAGGTTCATTTGCCTTGGGGCTCGCGTTTGACCGACAAATGTGGCACGCCAGCCTTCATGCTTCTTTGTCGGCATAGAGTTGGTGATATATAATTTCAAGATAGTATATATATATATACAGTTGTATAGTCATGTCAATATAAAATGGTAACTCAATACACATCTTATAGAGTATAAGCAATATTACAATCTGGTTTATTATACACATTTATACATATTACGATGTGATATGTTATACACCATAATATTATAGCACATAGTATATTTTGGATATAACATTAATTATGCACAACTATTCTTGTCATTATGATAGCATACTATTATAGCACATAGTTTTCACAACCATATATGTTATACACTGAAACATAATAGCCTCATCAGCCCCTTGCTCCGGCGACATCCGGCGAGGTCGCCAGAACAACACCAACTTCCGCGCGACAGCGGTGGCTTCCTGGCGAAACGGACCAATGGATCGCTGCTGTACGACGACCACCGCGTGGTGGTGCTCCAGGTTGGAAATCGCTACTGTAAGTTGGCCTATAAATAACAAAACTGGTGTGTATTTTTATGTCTGTATAAACATATGATAAGTATTGATAAGTGGTGTTTGATATAACTTATTACCATAACTGGTAATATAACCGGTAATATAACTGGTAATATAATAACTGGTGGTTCTATCTACGCTGGGTGATGTTTTTACCAACATTTCTAACTTAGATCATCCCAGTATACCCTCCGACAGACCGATCTTCCTGTAGCTTTCCGGCCCAAGCTTCGAAGCTGCCGCCTTTCGCACAGCTTCGCGGCGCGGCCATGGGCTCTTTGTTCATTTAACCCACAGGAGGTTGAGAAGCCTCAAGATATCTATGAGAAGGTGGGGGCATATATGGTGATTTAATGGGATGTAACCGCCAAATACGGATTTTTTCTGTAAGCAACAAAATATGAGGCTTGGGTAAAAACGGGTAATTACGCGTCTCAGCTTAGCGATTGCCTATGATTAAAGCAAACAAACATGGCTGGAAAATACCTCATGAGAGTCTTGAATGGGAAATTAATCTAAATGGAGATTTGTCACCTATAAGTAGGCAGTGTAAAAACAGTAAAACCCGATTGATGGATGGTGGGCGAAAATCAATGCAGCTTCCTTTAGCCATATCACGAAAGGTAGCCTCCTAGCGGGCTGGGCTTACCTTGAGTTTTACTTTGCGAAGCAAAGGGGCGGGCTGGACCCCTTATCCTTGAACGACCAGGAGAAAGGGACCCCCCCCCCTCCCCCCCTCAAAGGGAACTCTCGCCATATGCCTGGTGAGTCTCTTCACGCAGCAGCCCCTTCGCAGTGTCTCGTCATCATCACCATCATCATCAACATCATCATCATCATCACCATCATCATCATCATCATCCTCATCCTCATCCTCATCCTCATCACCATCATCATTCGACTTGACATTCGGATTTTTCGACATCCATTTTCCAAGTACCCAACGGTGCGATGAAAGTGACAGGTTCGAGCATCCATAGGTACCGCAAAAAGAGACATTGGAGTTTGTGCTAACACTGACCGTGTTCTTTTCCCCGCACAATGCGTGTGTCTGACAATGTATACCTCCAAATGGCTATTTAAATGGACTAAGTGGTGAGCAACCATGGACATCGTGTGGTGCTCTCTTTTCGGATCCAGATATCTCTGCTCTGCTCTGAATGTCCAGTTTCATGCCCGTCCACGGTTCATGAACCACCCAAGCTGGAGTCACATCACAACGACAATCAGAGCCCCCCCCCCTCAAAGGGAACTCTCGCCATATGCCTGGTGAGTCTCTTCACGCAGCAGCCCCTTCGCAGTGTCTCGTCATCATCACCATCAGCATCAACATCATCATTATCATCCTCATCCTCCTCATCACCATCATCATTCGACTTGAATTCGGATTTTTCGACATCCATTTTCCAAGTACCCAACGGTGCGATGAAAGTGACAGGTTCGAGCATCCATAGGTACCGCAAAAAGAGACATTGGAGTTTGTGCTAACACTGACCGTGTTCTTTTCCCCGCACGATGCATGTGTCTGACAATGTATACCTCCAAATGGCTATTTAAATGGACTAAGTGATGAGCAACCATGGACATCGTGGGGTGCTCTCTTTTCGGATCCAGATCTCTCCGCTCTGCTCTGAATGTCCAGTTCCATGCCCCCCCCCAAGTGAACTCTCGTCACATGCCTTGTGCGTCTCTTCACGCAGCAGCCCCTTCGCAGTGTCTCATCATCAGCATCAATATCATCATTATCATCATCATCCTCCTCATCACCATCATCATTCGACTTGACATTCGGATTTTTCGACATCCATTTTCCAAGTACCCAACGGTGCGATGAAAGTGACAGGTTCGAGCATCCATAGGTACCGCAAAAAGAGACATTGGAGTTTGTGCTAACACTGACCGTGTTTTTTTTCCCCGCACGATGCGTGTGTCTGACAATGTATACCTCCAAATGGCTATTTAAATGGACTAAGTGGTGAGCAACCATGGCAATATCGTGGGGTGCCCTCTTTTCGGATCCAGATATCTCCGTTCAGCTATGAATGTCCAGTTTCATGCCCGTCCACGGTTCATGAACCACCCAAGCTGGAGTCACATCACAACGACAATCAGAGTTATAACGTCTGACACAACTACCTTTCGTGTCACCCCTTCTCAAGTGTCACCAAAGGTGTTTTTGTTTGGAATCAAAAGTTGCGAACAGCCTACTGATGAATGATTCGATCCGTGTGTTTATATATATATATATATACAATATGTTTAACCATTTCCATGTGTAGGAAGGGAAGCCGTTAAAATCCAGCAGTGAGGTTGGTGGGAATGTGGAATATACTGTATACTCATTAGATTTACCAACAACCCACCCAGCCTTGCAGATAATAATCATTAAATATCCCATGGTATACGAGCTGAACTCTTGCACACTTTCACCCATGCTTCCCGTATTTTTCGGACTACTTGTACCTGTAGGGTCAAGATCCAGCTGATCGCGCTACCAAAGCTGAAAAGGACGTGGCCGACAAAAGCTCCGGACAGGCTGGGACCATGTGGGTGATGGGGCCCCGGGGTGCTTTGAAAGTCTCAAGAAAATGAGGTGGGACAATTTTTCATGGCTTGATCATGCTTGACCGCAATTGCAGATCTACGGGGAAATTACCTTTTGGACACGATCAAATTTCGAATTCCAGCTGGCAGTCGTCTCCGCCATATTATCCGGTCAATTCCAGGTCTCAGAGCTACAACAGCCTTCCCCTGCAGGGCACGGCTGAATCGTTCCTTGGCACCAAGAGCGGGCAGCATGGGGCACTGTTTGGTTGATATTTGATATGGTCAACTTTGCTTGCACGACACTCATGAGCTTTGAATTTTCTCAAGGCAGAAGTTCAGCTATTGCCTGCAACATCCTGCAACAGATGCATCATGGCCGCTGGTTTTTGCTGTTCCTGAGGTGCCGTTACATCATGTTTCATATGGAGGTGGTAGCTGGATCCAGGTTGAAGGGTTTTCCGGGCCACAAACCTAGCAGAGCGCCGAGCTTGGAGGTGCATTTGGCTCGGAGGCAGGCATATCATGGAGCATCTTTCAGCGGCATAGCAACGCATAGCAGCCACTGCTTTTGGCACTGGCTGTGAGAAGCTGGAACTGTTTTAAGGTAGCTATACAATTCAAGGATATTCAAGGTACCAATGCATCCAAGGTACCGATCCTAGCTCGGTAAAGCATGGTATAGCTATACATTTGGTGCCATTCCCCTATATTATTGCATGGAGATCTCTAGGCTTTATAGGAAAACTGCAGATTGCACACTTGCTTCCGTAGCTCACTCAATGTGTTTATTATCGTTGCCTTTGGCTACGCCATGACGGGGACTTCCACTGTGGACGACTTGCGACGTTACTTTGAAACGTTCTATCGAGAGGGTGGGGAGTTCCAAAGTGAAGAGTACGAGGATAGCGAGGATTTTGACCATTCCTGGAAGCATCTTCGAACAGGCATCGTTGTATGGAAAGATGCCATTGATTTATCAGCAGGGCCGAGTGCCAAGGCATTTTTCCATTACACAGCGGAGCTACCTTTCAGAAACATCACGGCTCTTGAGAAAGAAGCTGCAGAGGTATGGGCTTCACTGAAAACAGAGGGAAAAAGTGCAAACGCATGGTGGGGGCGCGGTGTGTACACTGTCCCTAAATCTCCCGACCGATGGGCAGACCGAATGGAACTCTTAGACAACAACTTCAGAAACATGATGAAGAGAGATGTGGAACTTCATGGTGAAGACTATGTGAGGAGAGTGTACCCACCACGTGCATCGTTCTGCATTGCTTTGCTCATCGACCCAGAGAATGCCTACGACATTTCAGTGAGGCCAACGCCTGAGATGGAGGCAGCGGGAAAGCCACCGGGCATGAATCTCGGTGACAAGCTGTTGAATGAGCCCGGGCAGCCAGAGCGCTGCTGTGTGGTTCTCCGAGTGGCTGGGGAGGACGGAGTTACCAATGCTCGAGCTCGCCTCTTAGATGCTCTCCGAGCACGCGAAGCGGCTGCTCAGAGTCTTGGCCTTGAGATTGCTGCCAAGGCGCGTTTGGGGGATGCTCTGCTGAAGCGAGGCTACTTCCCGGAAAGCAAGATCCTGCTAACAGAAGTTCTGGAGGCCCGTGAGCGCATCCTCGGGGCGACGCATCCTGTCACATTGGCCTCAGTCAACAATTTGGCAATTTGCTTCAAGGCCAGGGGCCAGATGAAAGATGCAGAAGCCCTCTACAGGAGAGCTTTGGAGGCCCAGGAGCGCACCCTCGGTGCCGACCATCCTGACACATTGCGCTCAATCAACAATTTAGCAATTTGCCTCAAGGCCAGGGGCCAGCTGAAAGAACCAGAAACCCTCTACAGGAGAGTTTTGGAGGCCCGTGAGCGCACCCTCGGTGCCGACCATCCTGACACATTGGGCTCGGTCAACAATTTGGCAAATTGGTGCTCAGACATGGGCCAGCTGAAAGATGCAGAAGCCCGCTACAGGAGAGCTTTGGAGGCCCAGGAGCGCACCCTCGGTGCTGACCATCCTGACATATTGCGCTCAGTCAACAATTTGGCAAATTGCTACTCAGACATGGGCCACCTGAAAGATGCAGAAGCGCTCTACCGGAGAGCTTTGGAGGCCCGTGAGCGCAACCTCGGTGCCGACCATCCTGACACATTGCGCTCGGTCAACAATTTGGCAATTTGCCTCAAGGCCAGGGGCCAGATGAAAGATGCAGAAGCCCTCTACAGGAGAGCTTTGGAGGCCGAGGAGCGCACCCTCGGTGCCGACCATCCTGACACATTGCGCTCAGTCAACAATTTGGCAAATTTCTGCTCAGACATGGGCCAGCTGAAAGATGCAGAAGCCCTCTATAGGAGAGCTTTGGAGGCCCATGAGCGCACCCTCGGTGCCGAGCATGGTCACGCATTGGTCATAGTCAACAATTTGGCAATTTGCCTCCAGGCCAGGGGCCAGCTGAAAGATGCAGAAGCCCTCTACAGGAGAGCTTTGGAGGCCCAGGAGCGCACCCTCGGTGCCGACCATCCTGACACATTGCGCTCAGTCAACAATTTGGCAAATTTGTCTCAAGGCCAGCGCTCTACAGGAGAGCTTTGCAGGCCCGTGAGCGCACCCTCGGTGCCGAGTATCCTGACACCTTGCGCTCATTCAACAATTTGGCAAATTGCCTCAAAGCCAGGGGCCAGCTCAAAGATTCAATTAGCACGAAGGGAAACCGTTGCAGCTGCCTCACCATGTTCAGCAGGTCGTCGCCGTAAAGTTTCACCACGGAAAAGGGCGATCCTGCGGTCGACTATCACCTCGCCAGTGTCCTCACATGACTGTTTGAATCTGAATTGCTTTACATCATGTCCTATAATAACGACCACAAGTGTTCATAAATGTTTCACACCAATGATGATCACCGTGGGTCAAGTTGGCAGGTTGAAGATGTACACACCTCACCATGTGAAACGCCACTGGGTCACCGCCATCGCCCGAGGTTCAGCATGCGGCATCGCCCAGTGATGCAACACGGCCTTCACGCCCAGCCCTCAGCTGACGGAACAGACTGTATGCGACATGAGAAGCAGCGACCTGCTGTTGCTTATGGAGCTTATGGAGCGTCATTGGGCCATCCTAAGCATTCCTAAGCAATGATCATCAATAATCTTGGGACCAGCCACAAAAACAATGGTCCTAGTTTTTTTTTGCACCCCCAAGGGTTTTGCGTCACATAGGCGCTCTTACTCACAGAAGTTACACCGAAAAGTCATGGAGAAGCCTTTGCACACAAAGATCACAAAGCTCTCACACACACACACAGAAGCTTTTGCACAGAGAAGCCTCTGCGTAGAGCATCTTGTCCACACAAACGCTTTTTTTTTGGAAGGGTTTGGGCTATGAGTTCACTCACGGATCTTACGTATCTTGTTAGAGCAAAGATGTTTATCACAGTTTATCACTGCATATCACTGCTTCTTGTTGGCCGTCTTCTATGCAGAATGATTACGCACGCCAGGTGATGTTCGTATATATTTATGGGATCGCTTCAAACCATCAGCTAGTTGTTGATGTTTGTTCACTACTCTGGGTTCCTTTGTCAATTTTCAGGATGTTCATTGTCTCTTGCTTGTGCTTCCAACATTGCTAAGCTGCGTTGAGCTGATGCGTCAATCCTGGATTGACACTGAAGCAACAAAATGGCCTTGGACCCAAGCCTTCGTTGGAGGCTTGACCGGGCCGATGAAGAGCATCAGCAAAGGCGTGCCAGTCGTCAGCAAGGATGCCAGGACTACAAACCAGGCAAACAAAGCAGCTCAGCTAGGGAGATCCCGCAGCTGGGGGATGGATCTTGGGACTTGGAGCATTGACAGCTGGGGATTTTTAGGTCACCTGGGAAAATTTGAAGATATCGCCAGTGAAGATGGGATGTTGAAGCCAAAGCTGGCAAAACCCCGAAGTTCCAGGGGGATTCACCGGCGGGAACTTTGGCGTTGACCATGAGTATATTTGGAATATGGGGTGTCCTGTTTGCCCGATCTTCAACTCTATGTAAGGTGTTGTACATGGCCAGCAGGGCACTCCTGCCAGCAACATACATTTTGCACGTTAAATCACCCGTTTGAAACTTTGGTCCTCTATACCTACTACTGCAAGAGGGAAACGCTCTAGTGGGGATATGTAAGGTTTCTCATGTTCTATTTGTAGTCGATTAGTATTTTCCGATGGCGTGGTATGTCCTAAGGACTTGGCGTGGGAAGAGAGTCACGCAGCCCTGGGCAGTGAGGTTACTTGTTTTTTTCATCGGACCTCTTGGCCGGCTGCAACTTGGCACACTTGGCGGAGAACTTGGCGGAACACTGCAGGGTGCTGCCCTAGTTTGTTAGCTAGGTTGGTGTATAAGTAGTAAAGCTTAGGAATGATTAGGATTGCTTATTGGGACTTATAAACAAACTTATAGCATCTTATAACTGGGTGGCAGCACCCTGTGAGGTTGTATCACGCTGGACCATGGATCCAGTACAACTGATTCAGTTGTACTGGTTCATTGCACCTTGCGTAGGACAATCATTTTCTGGGTGAACCCAGGTTGCAGTTTGTGTGAAAGGGTCTCGTGGTTGTGTGGGAATACAATGCCAAGTAGCCCTTTTGCATTGAACTATATTGAACCTACAACAGTCGCCATGCTGATTTTTACCATTTCTCAAATGGTACCTATAGGTGATCAGTGAGGGCCAGTTGATGCCAGCTGAGGCATCAAAGAATCAGTTGCAGCGGATCGTGACGACCTATGGAGGGGTGAGTTGCATATAGGTTTAAAACGTTTAGAAGCAATGCGAGAAAAAGAACTCTACGTGGCAGATGTGTCTCTTTTTCGGGAATGCCTACTGCAGATCCGAGAGGGGGAGTTGATATATGTTGATATATGTTGATATTGTCACGTGGGATTTCCAGAAGGGTACTTGTTCGACACCATTGAAAACAGAAGAAGTTGGAACAGACTCATTGGATCTCATTGGTATTTGCACCCGTGGAAGTTGGAAGTCATCTAGACTCGGAATAAAGCAACTGTCAACTGCCATGTTGGGTGCTTGCCTTTTTCGTTGACATAGATTGGGGTACCGTTGTACTGCAAAGAAATACTTAAAGACAATGGTTAGGGTTAGGCACTGAATGTCCTTGAGTAATTGTCCCTTGTATTTTTCAAGTGTTGTTTATTGATGTGTATTGCCCATCCTACCTAATAATTCAATTCCCGTTCTCATTTGTCAGGTAAAACCACCGGCTGATAGCTACTTCCTAGTCCGTTAATACTTTGTAGTAACGTGTCACCTGAAAACACCCCATGTGTAGAAATGTCACTCATGCCTTCTCCCCTGTATTAAGCATATTCCATTTGAAATCTGGTCTAGCTGTACTATAGGACACGTTTTTGCTGGGTTTTCTTTGGTGGTATTTAAGATTTGGGGCATGGAATTGCTCAGCCAATGATCATTTGGTAGCTCGGCCTGGTGGCTTGAAATCCTAGGGTTTCCCTTTGAATCCTTTGAACTAGATTATCACTATCACCAAGAGGTATCCCACAACTCCAAACAACCCGGCCAAAAACCGCTAACCATTGGTTCATCATTATGGGATCACCGATACCCCCCAAGAATCGTTTTCATCATTGCCTTGCCCCACTCACCAGTGCCGTCACCAGGTTACTGCCATGCCTGCGACGTGTGGGCAGCGGGCATTACCATGCGGGGAAGCCTAGGATATGATTATCGTGGCGCTTCCAAGCTTTCCATTTTTCACTTCAAGAACGGGCTTGGGGCAGAAAAATGGGCACCCCTACTTTGACACATCCCCGGGCGCGTGGGGAGTCAATGGGAATCATCCAGCACTTGGACCATGATTTTCGTCTACGAACTACTGTTACTAAATGTAATTGGCCCAGGCAATGCTCTGCCAGTTGAAAGATCCATAGCACCGGGACCATTGATTTTGGTTACCCTCCTTTCCATGGGACTGGCATGTGTTACACGTGAGCTGAGAATGTTCAATGGCAGTGCGACTCAACCAATCCTGATTCTACTCGTAGAGATTTGTATTATATATATATGTATATATATTGGAATTGGTGCCCTTTCAGATGTTGTCATTGACACGTAGAACGTTAGATAAAGAAAGGGTCGCCAACATTTATCATTTAGCTGCCAAACTCGGCTACGCACTTCATTTCTATTTTGGGCTAGTAAGTCGCACTCCTGCTTTGTCGGTTGCAGATTGTATCCCAAAGAACTGGGTGTTTTTACCGCTGGGCCTGCCAGGTATATGGTGATGTTTGCAGGGAAGCACCCCTTCATCACTGCGAGTTCCTGGGTTTGAACTAGCCCTAATTAAACATGGCTGGTTTGGAAATCCCGTGCCAAATGGGCGTCTAAATGAGTAAGCATGTTTTTTTTGGGGAATTGTGTGAGCAGCTGACTTAGTGCAGCTCTTGGGAGTTTAGTTGGTTCCTGTCATAATAAGTCAAAACAGAATTTCACTATGATTCACTATGTTTAATTTAACTAACTATTGTATTAACTATTATAGTATTCTGGGTTGTTGGCCGAAGCTAGGGAATGGACGTTCATCGTTCATAAAATCAGGACTACTGCATGCTAGCCGCTAGCCGCTAGCCATCAGAAAGATTCGCAATGAGAGGACCATTTTTGGTGACCCATATTCCGTGAGAATTTTTGGTTGCTGGATGTTGCTGGATTCGAAAATGTTGATCAACTCGAACCAATCCGATGCTGATCCCAACTGGCTACGGTTGCACAAGGCCTTTTTAGCCGTCGTAGAATCACGACTCAAGAGAGCTATATGCATCCAGGAAATTATCCAGATACATGATGTCGTTTCAAATGCTAAACAACCAGTTGGTCGTTGCTTCATCAGATAGGTTTGATTAATAGATGAACACTTTGTCCTCCAAGTGGAAAACGGTCTATTTTCATCTATTTTCAACATCCCACTTGTGGACCTGACATGAGTCATCCTGAGTCAAAAAAAAGTGACCGGCCAGGTCAACAACTCGACCAACAAGCTCTGATGGTCGGGCAATTGGATTTCAGCATCAGCAGTGGCTTCTTAGGTTTCGCCATGCCGCCACTTGGTGAGACGGGGGAGGGGTGAAGTCCAACTAACTTTTGCTGGTTGATTAGTGGAGAAGTGCCGTATCTTTTGATTTGGGGGGAGCAGGTGGTTTCAAGATGTTTCAAATGTTTCTTGATACCCTCTGGCAAACTAACATCGCCATGGAAAATCACAATCTTTAATAGGTAAATCAACTATAGACTTGGCAATTATGTTGGACTTCTTTCTAGTTGCGGCGATTGTGACTTGCTGTGACTTGCCGCTCAGGAAGGACCGGTACAGTCAGACAGCCCGTGTCTTTTGCAGACAGCCCCTTTGTAGCACCAGTAATCGCCCACGGATGGGCCATCAAGTGAATAGCATTTGGGGATAGGGGATGGCTTTACCAGGATTATGAACAGATAGAAGGGGTTGCGTAGTTACTTGTAAGGCATTAGATACAAGATGAAGATGTATGTTTGTATACTTTGTATGCCCAACAAAAAACTATATCTACAATATTCTACAGTCATCTACAGCAAACACCAGCCCTAGAAGGGGTCATGGTACAGCATGTGCTGCCAAGGGTATTGGGGATGGATCGGATGCAATCAACAGATGTAGTAATTAAGCAACATCGCAATGGAAGATCTTCATTTGTAGATGATTTCCAATTAAAACCCAACTTTTTTAGGACTTTAAATTTTTGATTACCACTAAATAGGCAAAATTGGGGACGCACATTTTCCAAGTCATATAAGTGATAGAACATGATAATACAGATACATGGGTATTTCACACCTGGTTAGATGGGACCAAGTGATCCAAATGTGGCGGCGACGCACTTCAGGATGGTGACGGTGGATTTCCCGCGACGCATCACTGCGGTAGAAGCGCGGCAGAGCATTTGGTTCCAGGTGGGATGACTATGGTGGGGGGATGGGAAGTGCTGGGAGGTCTGGAAAATATGAAGTATGAAATATATGAAGAATATGACTGTATATTGTGTATGGTTCATTTGTATTTATTTGTTTTTTTATTTTATGTTTTTTGAAGTGGTCAGATAAGAGGATATTATGTGATTTACTAGTGCTCATGATTACCACACTATGGTTATGTTTTTCCCATGATGATGATATGATATGGCATAATATGACATGTAGCAGTACAATGGGACATACTGGGAAGCAGTTTGGATTGGTCAAGGAGTTTGAGGACAGCAGATCTAGATACCAGGGGTGTTATATGATCTGCAAAATCTAGGACTAGCGAACAAAAACGATAATATAAGCATGGCTCCTGATCTGGGACATAGAGTACGTGATATCTACATGCCAGCGCTTCAGAGGTGCAGCAGATCCCAAGATCTAATTTTAGTCTTGTCAAAATTGATGTTCCCCCTTCATGTTCTACAAATTTCATCCCCAAATTGCTAACTTGTTCGCAGTGGAGGCCACATCCAGCAATTATTTGACCCGGTAGTTGGACCACGGCTTATAGACGGCCGTGTTGGGGTGAATTTTTTTGGTGTGGGCGGCTCTAGGAGCCCGCGCGCGTTGCACTATTTTGCATTGTTGTTTCTTGGGGGGTTGTTTTTTTTTTTGGGGGGGTTCAGGGGGGGCTAATAACGTTCTTGGCTGGCCGTCTTACAAGATATTCTCTTGGACTTGCTGCTACGCTATCCACTCTTCTCTTGCACTGTACCTTGTCACACGCTATCAACTTCTTTTTTAACTTGCAAGACACTCTTGATTTTTGCATTGTTGTTTCTTGTTTTTTTTTGGGGGGGTTTTGGGGGGGGGGCTAATAACGTTCTTGGCTGGCCGTCTTACAAGATATTCTCTTGGACTTGCTGCTACGCTATCCACTCTTCTCTTGCACTGTACCTTAAAAATTGCAGACATACGAAAAGAAAGATGGCCATCACAAAATGAGCCAAGGTGTGCAATCAATGATCCAGCAATGGATGTGGCGTCAAACAATTTTGCCGTGTTCTCCCAAAGAATTGATGTCACACCTTGTCGATCCGATGAAGAAACATCATGACTTTCAATAACGGCTTCATCCACTGAAACAAATAGTTTGGGTGCTTTGCAAAACCACTAAAAAACATGTATTTCCCCATGTAATTACGAGATGAAGCCGCTTTAACCAATGGCACGGCTGCGTGAAAAGTCCAAAATGGACTTGGATGCTCAGACCACTGGAAATCAGCAGAAAAACAAAAGGCAAGAATTGATGGTGTGCTGATTTCCTCACGGCCGCCTGTGAGCCGTGTACCTAGTTCGGTGCCATGCCCCTAAACACTTCTTTTCGAATTGTCATGCGCAATCCCATGGAAGAATGAAGCCCCATTAGCCTCAGGTGAGGAAAAAAGAACGACCTGTAAGGTTTTGGCATGGCCATAAATGGAGAAAAACAATCTCCCACTGGATTCACTAGACTATGTTGTCCTATTGCAGCGCCATTTGAAATACTGTATACAGACTGTAGATATTTTGAAATAACTTCAAGCTGAATCCCTTTTGTGTATTCCCACAGTACATCCCATACATAAGTGCCCATGGTCAAAAGCTGGAGTACACAATCCATGTTCATCGGGACTCCCATGGCACTGGGATGGATGACCATGCCCCATACTAACCCACGCAACTTGAGGCTTACTATGGTGGATTTATCTGTGCTTTCTTCCAATATGGAAGTTTACTCAAATGGGAGTACCCCTTAATCACTCACTTGAACAGGATTTTCCGTTAATAAACCATCCATTTGGGGTACCCCCATTGTGGCTAGTATATCCAAGAGTTACCCTACTCTCAACCGTTCAACCCATGGAACACTACCCTTCACCCTTTCGCCCATGGTGCCCATGGTGCACCTTCGGCGTCAGGAGCAGGGCATTTGCAACGGTCGCAGAGAGGTGCCGCGTCGGCCGGCCGGGGACCCTGCGATGGTTGGATTATTTAGATGTGGAGCGATGACGCTAAGATTTGACTTCGCAGGGTTGTCCACCAATGAAACAATACGTGCAGATGTGGGTTTGTCTAGATATTGGGTACTACATCCAATGGTTATCAGTTTTCAAATGAGTTATCCACCTGGCCTGCTGAGGACGTTCCAGATTCTCCTCCTGAGGAGGGTGGAGTTCCCTCGGAAGGAGTGCCAGTCTGTGACTAGGCCTCAAAATGGGGGTGGTCAACATTGGGGAACCCTCTGGTAGATGAACCTTGACAGCCTAGATATCTGTGGCTTCTATGTGAATTGAGATTGTGTCCATCCATCACTCAGGGCCCACAAATCCACATTAAAGCCGTACTATAGCAGGGTAAAATCCCTATGAAATACACATAATAACATGTAGTAAGTTTACTCAGCCAAGTTATAATTTTTTGAAGTGGAATATCCGGCCCAACCCCCGCCATTGCTGGATCTTAGGTAAGCCAACTGTGCCGGCCAGGCCCGAGAGATGCTTTTTCTTACTACTTGTGGGAGTGATGTTTGATGAAGGCTTGGTAAATTGGGATACAAAACCATCAAAAATGATCAAGCAATATAAAACATGATCAAGCATGATCAAAAATGATGAAGCGTTTAATTACTTGGTGATTATTGGTCGCTTGACAAATGGGTTCGTCAGCAAAAAATGGAGGCGTGACTGTCCGAAAGAGGGATGTAACCAACATCATGGGGAGCTAACCATCCATCGCACATAGCGTTTTAACCATTAAAAACCCGTGAGTCCTCAATTTGGGTTTGTCCGAAAATGGATGCGCAAGCAACAGTATGATATGAGAAATGAGTTTGTCCCCAAGTGGGGGGTTCAACTCAAACAAAATGACAACTGTATTGGGGAATTTGGAGAAAGTCATGGTCATAGAAATCCAAGTCTACCAGCGTTGGATTTTCTATAATTTCTATTGCTAGGTGTGTTTACAGGAGGGTGCCGACATGTGGGTGAATTTCTGGAAGACCATCGTATTCGGGGATTTCCAAGATCTCAAACAAAGGATGCCGGGAATCCCTCTATCACTAATCCCAGCTACAAGGTGGTGGTGCCCCCAGTTGTGTTTGCTGGCTTCATTTCACCTCATATTATTAATTAGTTGGATATATCTATGCCAGAAAATCCTAGCAAACCTAATTACTTAAAAACCAACGAAACCAACGTAGCTAACAAACTGAGACACTACCTTGTAGTCGTTTCAATCATCTTTATCATGGGAAGAATATACTACCCGACTAACCATTCATTGGACCCTCGCAGCGTCTTGGCTTCAATTCCGACGGGACCCAAACAACGGGAGACGCGAGTGCAGAAAGCTTCTAGTGCACCATGCACCTTGGACAGACTACTTGGGTATTGTGGAGTGGCCCTGGTGTTAGTAGATGAGCAGATACCAAAATAGTGTGGCAAACCCAATAACAAACAATCCCTCCAATCATCATAAATAGATTTAAAGACATGGTATTTATTTTTAGTATAAACCATCCCCAAATGGTAGTAGTTTATGGCATTGGGTTTACAACATTATATCTTAGCTGTAGCAGGTGAATAATTTGCTGGCTTGACGAGCAGTGCAAAATGAGAACAAACCTTTGCCGCTGCCGCCTTTGCCCCGAAACAGTCAAATCGACCTGCGTGAATTGAGATGTGTTCAGAACCATGTGGGGTGTATCTAAATGATACGAGATACAGAATGATGGACTTGCACAGAGATTATTTTCTGAACATTGCAATAGCATCCCCCGGCCTGTGGCAATTCCAGGGGGGAATTGAATCCACTGCACCCGGTGGTGCCTCAGTTGGCTAGCGAAGAAGCTAGTTTTTGAGTTTTATAAACCAACTTATAAACTCCATTACCTCAATATCCTCTTTATTTTACAAAAAAAGCCAGATAATTATATCAGAATATGAACCAACTGATTTCCCACTTTCTATGTTTTGTTTGTTGGGTAAAATACTTCTTGTATCCAACCAGCCCACCATTCCAAACAACACCCCACCAGCGTCCAATCTCGCGAGGTACCGAAATCATCAGTATGACATGGACTGTATCACCTGGAGTCCTGCTGGGCGTATCCTCCAGGTCAGACTCGGTCTTATTGCTGGAGGATTTAACATGATTAACCATGTGTTTAACATATTATTTTTGTTAAATTTGATATTTAAATCATGAAATATGATATTCAACCATATTCAGCCACAGTTTTGGAAATATTTAACCACACATTTTGGCAAATTGCAAATCAAATTATACTTGGCCTGCGATTGAACCATATTGATCCATATGGCTCTATTTCTGGGCATATTTCGTGGTGACCTCACGTCATGACCGAAACCCGAAAATTATGGTTAGGATGTGGGGAACAATCCTAGAAATATTACAAAAGGCCGAAGTGTTCAGGTTTGGTAAAATACCAAAAGTTACCTAGTAATTTTATACCGGTATCTTAAATCTTTATGTGACACCTCCTGATGTCATGTTATATATATATAGACTATAATACTTGACGTCCTGGTATATTCCTTAATGTTGCGGTGGGGGTTAATGGTCATAACGGCAGTTTAATCGACAAACACTGGGATGAACGCAACATAGTGGAGATTCTTCTGGTGAAATATGGTGAAATTATGATGTTCTCACATCACGATGTTTGTGGAATGAAAGTTATACATAATTTATAAAAATAATCCGGAGAAATTATTCCTGTATGGCCAAACGTTTCAGTTTTGTGTTTTTTCTGATTTGTGCAGATGACATGTAGAAGTGAGCCATGAACCAGATACCCCTGTTGATTTCTTATTTACTCACCAGTTATAGCTATAGCCGATTGCAATCACTAAGCAAGGTGATGTTATTGAAGAATGGTATAGAATGATGGTTGGGAGATGGTTGTTTGATTAGTTTTTGACGTTATACTACCTGGTATGTTGGGGATTGGTATATGATTAGTCCATTGTAGGGATGCTGATGACAGGCATAAATAAAAGGATCGGATATCACAAAGAAGCACAGAACGTTGTATTTTTCATAGCTGTCGTAGCGCAAAAGTGCAACCGTACTTACCAACTAATGTACTTTTTTTTGGGGGGGGCTGGATGGGGGTGGAGGTGCTCATCAAGTTTGGTGGGCTATATAGAAGAAAGGTGAGCATGTCAGTAATGGGATCATTTCTTAAGATTTTCACATATGTGCATATTTTTAAATTCAAAATCAGAAGAATATGTTCAAACCTTCAATGTCTAAAGTGTGGCCAATATTTGAAACTATGTGAAGTTTTTGGACATATATTTTGTTTCACTGGGATTGCTTTTTGAAATCTTCCAACAGTTTGTTGCATGATATTTGACCTAGTTATGATCACCAGTTTGCCTCTGGTAAACTAACATGGCTATTGAAAATGGCCATAGAAATAGTTGATTTACCCATTAAAAATTGTGATTTTACATAGTTATGTCGGTTATTTACAGTTGATTTATATACCCATTCAAAATGGATCAACATGGTGATTTTCCATAGTTTTTTTTGTATGTTTACCAGAGGATAGCTAATCAAGGCCAAGGGCCCCCATCTACCGTTGCGGAAAGGTGGAGTATGCCATGGAAGCGGTGAAGCAAGGCACGCCCGTCTTGGGACGCTTGGCGGTTTGCGAAAACCGGTCCATGGTGACTTAAATGAAGAATGACTACATTTACCCCAAAAAGATACAGGTAATTCCGAATTCTAATTTCGTAGGAATTTACTGTTCGATCTTTTTTTTTGGGGGGGGTGTAGTAGAAGTGGAATTATGAATTCCTTCATTGGTCCAAGGTGGGCGATTAAACTCAAGAAAAATAAGACTGGGTGGGTATGGCTACTGGGTACTGTAGGTGACGTGAAATCATGTGAAATCCTGTGTAGTTTCATTCATGGTCATTCATTTTCCACATTTTATGGATTGGAAACTCTAATTTCGACAGGGAGTTCACAATCCTTGAGGATTGCGCTCCAAGACCCATGTGGTGCTGGTCTCCTTCAAGCGCGCGCAGTCGGAGCTGGCGAATCATCAGCAGCTCGGAGCTTGCAATGCAAACATGTCGAAAGGTAAAACGTGGTAAAACCAATGCATCCCAATACCAAATTTCAACAATCCTCAAGTCTTATTTGTGAAATTGAAATTGGTTTTGCTGTGTTTGGGACAATGTTTATTAGGATCCTCAAATGCTTGGTTGCTGGAAACTGTTTATTCTAGGGTGTACCTCCCTACCCAAAGATCCAAGAAAATGGAATCCTCAGTGCTACTGTGGGCCCTTTACGCAGCCCATTACAGCCCCACATTGAGCGAAATTCAATAGCCTTAAAGATGAAACTAGCATAAATTATTGCGCAATTCTACAGCCAAACGAGATTAGTAGGGAACCATCATATTGCTGGTTGGTGGTTTCAAACATTCTTTATTTTCTATAATATATGGGATAATCCTTTCCATTGACTAATATTTTTCAAGATTGTTAAAACCACCAACCATATTGGAATTCCAAAAATGGACACCAGACAATGGGATGCAATGGGAGGGCGGGGTCTTCTTCATTTCTCGTTGTCATCGCCTGGCCTGAGGGAAGATGATGATCGTAACTAGTGGATGTTGGGATCCCATTAAACCTGGTTAAGTACAGATATCCACCATAAACCCAAGGATTCATAGTTCAAGATTCATGTAAAATCTGTGTTAAGGGCAGAAATCAAGCCAAATCAGCAGGGGCAGAAATATGGCAAGGGTGGAACATCTAAGCATATATGTTAGTTATGGTCTACCAGATGATTGCCCCTAGTAAACTGTAAAATCACCCTTTTGATACCTAAAAAAAGTCACTAAAATTCCAATCATTTTACCCAGCATAACTCATGTTGTCTCGCTGTATCTCACCAAAAATATTTTGAACCTTTTCTCCACAAAAAAATGCGCCATCTTGGCCATCTCGGCCATTTGCTGCTGCTTGAGACTCAGGCAGAAGATCTTCAAAATCGACGACCACATGGCCATCGGCATTTCAGGCCTCACGGCGGACGCGCGAGTGCTGGCAGACTACATGCGTCATGAGTGCCTTGGGGACGGCACGGGTGGGCTGGAGCAATGCTTAAAATAACACATATAAAACGTTTAAGGTTAATTTATGGGGCAGAAATTGGTAAATCATTGGGACATACAATGGGAATTATAATAGCAGTTGGGATGGATGCAGAAGTGATCCTATGAAATGCTCGATATACACAAGAATTCTGGGGAAACGAACTGGGGGACTTATCCGGGCAAACTCAAAACCACAGCATTATTTGAATTAGCTTCATTGCTATTATGTATTTATGAAATTGCCTGATGTTTTGTCATATTTTGCGGCAAACCTGGAAGGCATTAAAAACAAATCGTGGTGGTGTTCGGAACTGGGTTCTCTTTGCAGTTCTATATGGTGTTCAGTATTTGGTTTGGACACTTGACCTTGTGTGAACATGCAATTCTTGCATTTGTTGTAGGAATATGTCCTATCCCACTATTCTTCTTCCAGATTATTTGAGGCTACCTAGCCAGGAAATGTCGTTCTCGCATTGGTTGAACTTGATTTCAATCATGTTGCGAGGGCAGAGTATGATATAGCCATGGACAATAGCCATTTGTGGGTTTGTTCTTGGATCATTCCAATATGATGCAGGAATACGCAGGATATTTTTGGCTACACAAAATCTTTGGACCTCCGTGAATGCTGGACGCATCGATGGTGCTTTCCTATACTGGCTGGTTGGCAAACAGAGGAGCACACACTGCGTTCTAACACGGCCTAAGCGGTTACGTCCGTTTGCTGGACATCAACAGCGATAAAAAATGTGTATATATATATGTGATGAACAACAACAACAACAACAACAACGACAACGACAACGACAACGACAACGACAACGACAACAACGACAACAACAACAACAGCAACAACAGCACCAACAGCAACAACAACAACAGCAACAACAGCAACAACAAACACTTTTCCACTTAACAACAAACTCGAGTCAACAATGTCAAACAGCCCACCAACTAGACAATCAACTGCTGATTAATCATCATCAAATATTATTAACTTCAAGTAATCCCTGTTTTCCCATGGTTTTCCCATGGTTTACCTCCCTTTTACGGTGTCGCGACGCGTCTCTGAGGTGCCTGAACCATCGCTACGTCTTCGACAGTGCCATGAACGTGGGTCGCTTGGTGGCGCAGGTGGCCGACAAGTCGCAACAGAAGACCCAGCAGCTCGGCGCCGTCATGGCGATCATGGCCATGGGCGATTTTTGTGCTACATCTATTGCATACATATATATATATATATAGAGGCCATGATTGCTGGAACAACATAAAAACAACTATAAATCAACTATAAATATATATATATAATATATATAATATATATATATATATATGTAATATATATATATAAATAGATCTGTGTGTGTTTTTCTCTGATTTGTTTTGAACATATTCTGCCAAGTGCGACCATGTTTTCCGGTGAAAATTCTCATCGTTTTGACCCAAGGAATTCGTCCAAGCGTCCCTACGGCGTCGGTCTGCTGGTGGCGGGCTGTGATGAGAAGGGACCCCACCTCTACGAGACTTGCCCCAGTGGAAACTACTTCGAGTACTACGCCATGGCACCTTGGGCATCCTTGGGCTGCTGGGGATGCTTTACCCAGCATACTGAAATGCTGAGTTTATGGTGGTTTATGAACCCATGTGCATACATACACACACATATATATATATATAAATGTGTGCGTATGGGAGCGTTTCAAAATGAGTTGGACATTGTAGCCGGCTATCATTGTAGGATAGTTCATGGGGATAGAAGATGACGAACATTATATATATATAGCAACAATTCTGAACCAACTGGAGAAGGGTAGTCTTGAAGATGTATACTAATTCTCACCTTATTTGTATTGTTCATGGCAGAGTATCTAAGTGGGTAGCGGTTGGATGGAGATAGCAGAACCAATATACCATTGGACCATGGCTGAGAATGGGACATGTTGTGATGTTGGAATGGTTGGTTGGGATATTATTTACATTTTTACCCTCCGGTAATCAAACATGGCGTGCTGGAAAATCAACCATTTAGTTCGATTATTTTAGTTCGAGTCTGATTTTCATATGGCTCAAAGCAGTTGAGCCGCAGAAATGAATGTTTAACCTGTTAAAAAGACCTAACAATCATCAACACCGGGTGATTGGTTGCAATTAGTTTCATCCAAACGCTAAGAACATATTATCATCATATAGAAAAAAAGCTTCTGGTTGAACGAGATTAGTTATATAACCGGAAGCATACTAAAAACATATATGTATTGCACTGATTGCACCCAAGTTATCCTAAGTTGATGCCAGATTTTGGTAGCTCGTTTTTTTGTTGTTTTGGAACGGGGTGAACAAAAGGGGGTCTATGTGCCCAATGGCCTTGCCCCACCAAGGCCATTGGGGGTCGATCCACCTCAGTTCCTTGGTCGATGCTGTCGGGCTATGGGTGTCATTTCTAAAAAAAATAGACGCGTCCATATTTCACAACAGGATATCACAATTTTACATTTTTGTTTTTTGGGTGCGTTACATTGGGCATATTTTTTTTTTGTGTGTGTGTGTTTGATCTCGCTTCACCCGAACTGATCTTTAAAACTCTAGGGAGAAGAAGATGACCGCTCAGTAAATTGATAACATGAAAACCATGAATCCTCAAGGTAACCTTCAACATGCGCAAGAGATTGTTTCAACATATCCTTGTGTAAAAATAGGTCAAGAACCCACATCATACCTTGAATACACATGGGTTGTGGCTCCCAGCCAAGGAGGATCATCCCAGAAACTGCAACTGATACCAATACATTTGGTTGCCTAAGTCCTCTAAGTGGGCCGCATTCGCATCATGACACTCATCAGATGAACGGAGCAGGAGACAGAACTCAATTTGTCATGTGAAAAACATTGGATAACGTCATGCATCATCCTTTTCCCCTAAGGGTTTAACAATATAACTCCCCTCAAAAATGCTGGTTGAATCTTCATTCGGAGGTCAAAATAGGTCAAATATATACATGCGATGGATTGCGATGACATGATTCTCGCAAAATTTATTCCATCGCAAGGCCAAGACCTACTTGGAGAAGCACTTTGCGGATTTCGAGACTTCAGACATTGATGCCCTGATCAAGCACGGCCTGGAAGCCATGTGCCATGGCAAGAGTTTAGATCAGGGCCGCATTTTCGGCATCCCGATGGTTGGTGTGTGATCTCCTTGGTGCCTGCTTGCTTCAACAAAAACCCTCAATGAAGCACCCCTTCTTTCATAGGTGAATAAGTCATGATATCTGATAAATCCATATAAATCCCTTATCATCCCACGTTCCTTATTGATTTCTTTGAGCAAAAAAACATTGATCTTTGCAGGCATCAATTGATCATTTATAAGATCTATAGCATTTGCCAGTGAATCTCCCCTATCTGGGTGCACTTCCCATTTTTAACAGGCCAAGTTCATCATCGAATCCACCGAGACATTGGCGGCAGGAACAAGACCACCTCCTCGGACCAGTCGCTGAGCACCAAGAACACCACCGTGGCGGTGATCGACAGCGAGAAGTACAAAGAGCTGTCCAGCGAGGACGGGACGATGGAAATCCCCGGGGGTTTACCAAGGGAACCAGGCGAAAGTTGGGGGTGGGACCGGGTGGGATACCCTCTGGTTATGTCAAAATAGCTATTGAAAATGGCCATTTATAGGATTTCCCCATTGAAAATGGTGATTTTCCATAGCCACGTTAAATTACCAGAGGGTAAGTGGATCTTATTCTGTGGGCTCCGGATTCCGGGTGCCTTTTTTTAGGGGGGAGAGAATGATCTGGAGAAAGATGTGAACAATAACACAGGGATAATGAACAGTGTTTTTTAAAACATTGAGAATCCAGACATTATCTTAAATATTCAAACCCTGTTGACTCATGTTGGTTGTTTCGAAACATTCAGATTCCATACGACAAATATCAACAAGTGGAATAGCAGCATGCGTTCTTCTTTACAGGTTGTAAACCTGTTTTTTTCTAGTCAAATGCGAACTGGTAGCCTGGTGAGCTGGATATGGGTCGAGGATATGTGCTCATTCATCAACTATTATATAAGTAATATAAAAACAAAAGCAACCAAAAACAATGTTCAGCCCTCAGTAGCTTGCTTGACACTGAGGAAAAACAACCACATGTGCTACACCCAACTGAAGGTTCAAAAAATCTACTTAAATAACCCCAGCATAGCAGCAGAGCGCATCTCCAGACCCAGGAGATGCAAAAATTCATCGATGGCCTTGAGAAGAAGGAAGATGAATCTGAGCTGAGCCGAGGTGTTCATCTAAAGTTGATGGAAATCGAAAGGGGGGAAAAAAGGGTGATCCCCCAAATAAATCCAAATAACCGGTGTTTTTGTTTCATGGCGTATTGGCCGCCAGCAACCACTACGGAAGAATCTTGACCATGGGGCATTCAGGCGTGTTACGTGGGATGATCAAGGTGGAATTGTCACGATCGAAGGCACTTGGGCAGCCTGGTTTTCTTCATTGATCAAATATTCCTCAAATTCATTGAGCGTAGCTATCAAACACATGCAAAAATGGTTTAGCTAAATCAATATTTAGGTTTGTAATGCATCCATTGGGCAAAGCCATTTCTGCACTTGAGGAACCTATGGAAGAGGAACCTGCTGCCGCTACCGGTGGTGATGCTCCGGCCGCTGGGCGCAGTAGAAATGTTAGACTGCAGGGGTTCGAAACAAGATCGTCACATTCACATAATATCCTGCGTAGCTATGGCAAATTGATGAAAACTTCGCATTGAGTTCGATGATTTACCAGGATCCACCCATTATGGTGACTTTCCATAGCAAACTATTCGAGTACCAGAGGTTCAAGCATCTTAAAGATGTAAGAAACAATACTCAAACATTCCCGTGTGCGTGTTCTGAAAAGGGATAAAGGGATATAAAGGGGTAGTACCCGACTTTGGGATGTAGAATGACTTGCCAAATGGTTACTGGGATGGTTTATCACAGTTTCAAAAATTTGGTTATGGTCATCTCCGCATAATCCGGGGTTAATGTAAGGAATCCCCGATGATTTTGGGATATCCATGCCCTCTATACGATTTTTTCACCATTGCACAAGTGGGTCGAAGATGGCCCAGACTGTGACAGTCTCAGCCACCATTTCTTGACGTTTTGTCACGGTATCTCCACGGTTAAACGGATATTTGGGAAAGGATGAGATGACATGGATATAATTTTCCTACGATGGTTTCGGCTTACCATTCCTTCCTAGTTTAACATCCAATGCGGTTTGGGAATATTTGTACCTTGCGCCGCCAAGGCACCAATGGACACTACCGGCTGAGTGAATTTCGTCCCGAAGAGTTTTGGGTCCCGCAATTCAGTGGTCCCGTTGAGTAGAGAGGCTTGGTGCCGCTACGGTGCCATAAGTTGAGCGCACAGAACCGCACGACACGACGAGCAAAGGATGCTCCAAAAAGAACGGATGGCAGCGATGACCGTGTTGGTTGATAGGGATGAGCTCTGAACTTGTGATGGTTGCTGTTGTAGCGGTTGGAATTGGTTATAGTATGTTATAGTTATACATATATATATATAATGGTCTCCAAGCTCATATTGGCCGCATAGCAATTTTATCAGGGATCCCAAGTGGTACGGTAGAGATCCTTTTGATTTGAAGCATTTGATCATCTTTTGATATTTGCTCCACGGTGCTGTTTGAGAACGGTTGAAGGGTGCAATTTGAAATCCTGTTGGGCCAGCATGACCAGCTTGGATACTGAAGATGTTTCTCATTTTTCTAGCGCGGCCTGCTCAGTTGCGTGGTTTTCCTTTTCCTGGGCCAATGTAAACCCTCTCGTCTTTGAAGGTTCACTTATGTTCAATCCGAATTGTTGTCCAGCGAAATTGGGAGGATCACTCTTAACTTTTGACCCTGTCGCGGTTATCTGCACTTAGCTAACTTGGTTGGAAAAACTAGCGGTCAACTCCCGTTTCATATGGGTAAACCAACATTTTTCTCTGGAAAACCCAAGGTCTCCCTAGGAAAATGGCCCATACCAATGGATAAATGATAAATGGTTTGTTTTCCATGGTTTTCCACATCTATGTTAGCCTGCTGACGGGTAAGGGTAAATTTCTATGTGCCAAGTGAGATGCACATCCGCCGTCGGTGCAGGCCATCGCCAGATGCGGCTGAGAGCAAGGAGAGTTGTGTTTATTGTTTTTTTGTTGGTGCCCTGCGGTGATGGAGCATATGTGATCAAATTACCAATGATTTATCATTCCATTTTTTGGCAATTTGGTGTTTAAACGACAAACATGTGATTTTTCGATTTTACATTGTTTAACACCGACAATGGGGATATAAACAGGCTTGTAGATTAATTGGTTAGATACTGTATATGATAAGGTCCTACCATTATACTGGTAAAAAGGGATTTCAATTTCAATTATCACCGGGATGTAATCATGGGACAGAAGTTGATATATGATGATATACCTAGAGGATATCATGGGTCAAAGATATGGTACTGTCAAATCAACTGTATGTTCGATATTTTGGGATGGGGGTGAGCCAACAGAAATAGGGTTTCGCATCGGTAACAATGGGGATTTCAATGGAAGGGGTGAGATTTTGGGATCAAGCTCTACTAGATTCTACTACTTAAATTGAGATGAAACGGCGAGCACGAAGACTTTTGATCGTCCTGTTCGAACATGACCTGTTTGAACTTAATGTTGCTTGCATGATTTGGAAGTGGGATGTTGCCAGGTTAGATTTCTGGAGGGCTGCCACCCTGCTGGAAACAGAGAAACGGGACAACTTTCTACACTAAGACGCGCATCATTATGTCGCCAACCGCTATGCGTTCAGGATTGTGGTGGATATGGGGTGATGATGTCATGCGGGTGGGTGTCAAAAAATCAACAGGAGATTGGTGCCAGCTGGTGGCCCTTCACGCTTGGAGCCCCAGAAAAATCTCCGAAAAATCAGGATCAGGTGGAGAAATCGCGCGACATCCTGCAACGAGTGGTTGAGGTACCACATTTGGTTATTTAACAGTTCGCCATGGAAAATCACCATTTTTCATAGGTAAACCATCTATAAATGGAGGGTATATCAATATCTCTGAGTCCACCTTGGATGGAGTGGTCGAATACTATAATTTCTTGCCATAAATGAACCCTTATTGCTAGCTCAAAAAGCCCATTCTATTTTGCAGGGCATCTCCAATTCGCAAGTAGTTGCGGCAAGGTAAAGACTCCAATCATTTGCCTAGCGGATGTGAACACAAAAATTCCACGGCCAGATTAGTATTGGTTTACTGTAAGGGGGCGATTTGATACAATTTGCAGGAACACTTCATATATTAGCTATTCCACATATATTTAATATAACACATTTCAAAACGAAGGGTTTTCCGTAGAATTTCCCTTAAACCAATCCATTGAAGGCTAGAATTACTGGTACTGGAGCGCAGTGCTTCGGCCGACCGGTTTGCAACATGTCGTGGCTTCCCTAACTCCTGCTGTTGGTTGATGACTGTTGATGACTGTTGATGATCATTGAATCCATGAGCTGGGAATACCCTTGAACACCAACCAGTGAATGTCCAATTCTATCCGATCGTTCTTTTTTTTCCCCTGCTCACTTACGCGCCATTGCTATCCCATTGCTCCCTTACTCATCATGAAGCACAACTACCACATCCACTTACATCATCCTGGCAGCCAACAAGTGCCAACCGAGGCCTGAACCGAGGGATGAGGGGAAACCCATGGTGAACTCCTCTCCTCTCTCCGCACCCAGAAGGAAGACCACTGCCTTCATGTCACGTCGCCGCAGCGGCGTTGGGGTGGGGTCTTCCGTTGATCTATGGCAGCCGGCTTCGCCAACGAATGGTATAAGTTGGGGTGTTTTGGGGCACACCGAAATGTGCAAATGGTGATACTATATCTGGTTGGTGGTTTCAAACATGTTTTATTTTCCGTTCAAACACCGTTCAAACATGTTATATTTTCCGTAATATATGGGATAATCCTTCCCATTGGCTTTCATATTTTTTCAAGATGGTTATTGCACCACCAACCAGAAATGATCCACAGATGGTCGTGAACGGCCTCACGACGATGAATTCCTTCACCTTAAAGTCACTGAGTGGCTATACTTACCAGGGAGCTGCGAGGTATGCGATGCGCAATCAGCTTGTTTGGTGAGCCGCCAAAAAATTGTATGGCGAGTTGGATTGATTCGGATTGTTGGTTTGCATATTGTTTCTATATTCCCCCATCTTTTTTGGATGGTCATTCCATATTTTTGCATTTTATTCCAATTTACCCGTATTTTGCAGAAGAGCTGAAACCAGTACTGAATGTACCATGAGAATCCACTCCACTCCACTTTCTTAGATGATGAGTGCAGTCACCAAGTGGGGTGATCCTTCAAGAATTACTTGACCTTTTGCTTTGATCTTGGATATGAACTACCCATCTTCGGACATAATTTTGATTTGCTTACTGCAGCCAACATCCCAATTCACCATTTACATGGCCAATCGATCGGAACCCAGTAGCGCAAAGTTGTATCCGAAGACTATGTATCTTTGGCAGAAAGTGTACTTATAGCTACCCTATCCATGATGGTTGGTAAGGGAACCAACCCCTCAAAAACCTTATTTCAAGTTGATAACTTATTTGTCATCATATTCACCCAGGTAGTATGTAATTACTCAAGCTATGAATCCCATGATTTACGATTGGATCTATTCATTTGTTGGGCGATTTAATTGGGGGTGTTTAATACTAGAGCGATGTGATCCTTCTAGCCAAGTGAGAATTTTGAAATCATTCAAGGAATGCCAGAAACCTATGAATGTGCAGTGGTGTAGCATCAAACCCATTGAAATATGATACATTAAACATAGCCTCCACACACTGTGGGCAATGAAGGTTCATAGAAAACCCCTCGATCACATTAGTGACGTTAGTGGGTCAAGGCTATGTCCAAGATATGCATCATCCTAATCCCTTTCTGATCATAAACGCTAAAAATACAATTGTTTTTTAGGGAAACTGACACATCTTTGGTGCCACCATATATGGGATGTTTCATAGCGACCTGCGCGCCCCTTGGTCGCCAAGGTCGCCAGAGCCGCGCTCCGAGCAATCTGTAGAGGTGCTTTCAATCAAAATGGAGGTTTTTTTTTCAGAAATTCATCGGTCAATGGGGGATTTCCCGTAAACCTTGGTTAGCTGGTGATTAGTTCCTGCCAATGTTTGAATAATGGATATCTCAACTTTTTCTCGGTTTAGTTATCTGGTTTATGATGGGTTGCACGCCAGCTAGTACTCATTCCATGACCCATCTGAGGAGAGCTTAGACATACGACGCGTTGAAGAGCACGGAGAAATCGTAGTTTTCATAGGTTTGGGGGCGAAACTGTTTTTACTTGTTTCTCGCATCGTGATGAGAAACCATGTTTAGTCAAAACAACACTCAAATCATTTGGTTCGTAAGGTAACCAAGAGAAAGCAGAACATCTGGACCACCAGCATGGAACGATTGTAATTTTCTTTGCACCAAATGCACCGCAATTGTGCAGATCTCGTTTCAGGCTCCGAAAGATGAACTGCAACAGCAGACGCTGGGCGCAGATTCGAAACGGAGTGTTGAGAAAAGTGCCCAGAAACCGGAGTTTACGACATACTTACTTAATTACTCAATAGTAACACTCATTTGCGACAAACATCCAGATTCAGTTCCCTTCTTCATGAGTTGTTTCTTCCTAGTGCCAAAAAGGCAAATCCTATCCCCGAGTTTTTTGAACATACATTAACATACCATAACTGGTTGGTGGTTTGGAACATTTTTTCCATATATTGGGAATTTCATCATCCCAACTGACGAACTCATATTTTTCAGAGGGGTGAAACCAGCAACCAGCATAGTTGATTATATGCAATTCACAAATAGATTCAATACATCCCACCAGGTTGGAATGTTGGGGGTGCTTTCAGATGGCATCGGCTGGATTTTCTGCTAAGGATTCAGGACTTGGAGAATCAGCTCAGGCAGGGAAAAAAACTCCCCCAACCATTGGGGATGCGGGGAAACCTTACTATTTTTTAGCAGATGAATGGGGTGTTTGTTCTGTTTGGGCCATACGTGGAGGAAATCATCCTGCCAGCATTGGAGAAATATACGGTGGAATGATGGCGATTGAGAGTGATGGTGGTTGGGCCAGTGCCTTTTGAACTCAATCCCCATTGGGAACTCCAAGTAGTTGAAACATGTTGAAACATCTTGGCGGGTTTGCAAGAACCACAATATTTGCCTCTAACTGCCACGGTTGCCTTTTTAAAAAATCAGAATGGTCGGCAGCCTCATGATGTGGCCAAAGGTGGCCAAAGCCGACTTTGATGATGGTTGATAGGTCAACCGACAAAAAACTTGTTTCTTCTCATTGAGTTGCCTCTGAGAAGCTCCAGAGGAAACTTCTTGTTCTTGTTCTTCTTGTTTTTCTTGTTATTGTTCTTGTTCTTGTTGTTGTTGTTGTTGTCGTTGTCGTTGTCGTTGTTGTTGTTGTTGTTGTTGTTGTTGTTGGTGTTGGTGTTGGTGTTGGTGTTGGTGTTGTTGTTGTTGTTGTTGTTGTTGTTGTTGTTGTTTGCAACCATTTGTTCCCCCCAGTCGGAACAAGAGTGTTGCCAAAATGTATCAGTATCGACTCGTTTATCCTGTAGTGGTTTCAGGTGGTCATGGGACATCTCCTGCTTTGAGCAATGATGGAAAATTGTCATTTATAGTTGATTTACCCATCGCAAATTGTGATTTTCCATAGTAAGTTACCAGAGGGTATCTACAAAATTCTACACATGCCGAGTTCTTCATTGCTAGGTCAGATTACCAGAAGTGAATTTTTGTCTTATGAGATCTTCCAGGTTCAAGTTTCGACCAGGCGTTTGCATGGTGAGAACCAGATGCAGAAACAGCAGAACGAGTCGCAGTTCCAACTGCTCTTAGAGAAGCTTGGCGTAGCAACGCCGCCACGGTTCCAGTGGGTTCCAGTAGTTGGACGCGAGGGACCTGGAATCAAAAGTGACGAGAAACCAGCCTGCACTGGTATGTGTGTGTGTGTATGTTTCTTGAAATTGTTGACCCCCAAAGGATTGCCAAAAATGACTGATTTTGTTGGTGTCGGGGATCCCTCATTTTAGGAGCCCCCTATTTATAAGCAGTATTATAATATATCCCATTCTAAAATGGCCTTGAAAGCTGGCTTTCAGCCACACACAGGGATGCAGGTCCCAGCATATAGTTGAAATTAGTTTGAACAAAATCATCCCCAAATCTTATATTACTGCTTCGAAGCCTTGATTTATGCCCAGCAGCAGCAGCAGTAGGAGTAGTAGTAATAGTAGTAGTAGTAGTAGAAGTAGTAGTAGTAGTAGTTGTTGTTGTAGTAGCAGTAGTAGTAGTAGTAGCAGCAATAGTGGTAGTAACCAGCAGTAGTAGTCGTCGTCGTCGTGGTAGTAGTCGTGGTAGTAGCAGTAGTCGGCCCATAGTCATGAAATTAAATGCAAGAAACCAATATATTAATATATTAATATATTGTTATATTTCGATTATTTCGGTGTAAAAAACGGTCTTCCTGACGATTTTTCCCTTCAACTGACCATTGACCAGCACGTCCCAGGATGCAGCAACAGTTGAAGAAGCAGGTGACGCAAGACTTCGAGGCACCTGCCGAAGCGATGAGTAGTTCGGGGGCCCTTTGTAGCAACCACTAGAAGATAGAAGAGTAAAATACAGCACATGATATTGTACTAACATACTAGTATATATAATATAGAACCAAATGATGTTTCCTTTTCTTGGAGGTTGTTTTCTTTTTTTCTTTGTAGATGAGGGTGTGTTGGCCCAACCCAGTTTATATATTGATTAATTCGTCCAGGGTATCAAAGGTTGATCAATTAGAATACCAGGCGCGCAAGAACACGTGTGGTGATTGTCCTTTTCAGTAGAAACGCTTAGACTCAAGACTTCAGACGCTCATCTTGTGATCCCAGTGCCCAGCCAGTCAGCTTTGACTTTGACTGACATTTTGCCAAGCACAACCATTTTAATTTAAAAACAAACAACATAAACAACTAGCCCAACATCCGTCTTGGAACCGTATGTTCCCGATTCAAGTGCAATTGAGAGTAAATCACCCTATTCTTGGACGCCCCTAAACTACTGATTATCAATGAGTATGTGCCCATATGGTCTCTCTCTCTCTCTCTCTCACTCTCTCTCTCTCTCTCTATGTAGATATATATATTATATATATTATATATATATATTATATATATATATCCATCATGTATTTGGGGATTGTTAGATGTTGCAAAAATATGGGATAAATGGCAACTCTAAGTGGGTCGTTTTTGGTGAGCAGAACCGGCCATGAGGGATAAACCTAAGGGCTACAGTAAGGTGCTTCATCAGATACCACAGAAGGTGTTCATTTTGACAGCAGGATGGCGGTCATGGAAGTCGAAATCCTTTAAGGAGCGTGTAACAACTCACCAAATCCGAATGGATCCGAATGGACTAGTCATGTCTAAACCATCCTCTGGTTACGAAGACTTAAGGACCCTATAGGAGCTTTGGGCATCCAGGAAAAAAGGAGCTACGCAGCTATGAGTTGAGTTTCCCAACCACAAGTTTGTTTTTTTCTCGGAAAGGCAAGACAGGATATTACATTATTATACCTATGGCACCCTTAACCCACTTTTTTTTGGGTTGAAATCGAACCACCTTTCTTTTTTTCCCAAGATTTCAAAAAAAAAGATATTTTCAGAAAAACCTGGTTTTCCAAATATTTCCAAATTTCTACCCGTAATTTACCCATAATTTCCTGAACTTTACCCGTAATTTCCCATAACCAAATGCCTTGCTGAAAAAAACGTGTTACTTTGAAAACAACATATGCTTTTTTTCTGGCAACCAAAAAAAGTGGGTTTTGGAGGCTGTATATATATATATATAGTTATATAGTTAACTAGTATTATTTTGTTACGTGATATGATGTAACGAGGGGCCTCCATCCATGGTCCATCTTGCCCATTTATCTATCTATCTATCTATCTATCAATCAATCAATCAATCAATCAATCAATCTATTCTATCAATCTATCTATTCTATCAATCTATCAATCTATCTAATCTATCAATCTATCTAATCTATCTATCTATCTAATCTATCAATCTATCTATCTATCAATCTATCAATCTATCAATCTATCTATCTATCTATCAATCTATCAATCTATCAATCTATCAACCTATCAATGTATCAACCTATCAATCAATCAATCAATCTATCTATCTATCTATCTATCTATCTATCTATCTATCTCTTTATATATATATATTTACGACGTAGCTACTGGATACCCCATAAGATACCACCCGACAACACCCCGCTACTTGAATGAATGGTAATTACTCCATCAATAAGCATGACAATCAATAAATGAGAATTACTGCATTCATGTAATCCCCATATCAATGTAAACCTCTATAAAGAGATACATAGAGCAGATAGTGCCCATGTATGATAGATACGTCACTGCTCCATAAGATATTATATACTGATATACTTAAGTCTACTTATACTCCTATCAATTTGATATGTTGAATTTGATATCACTGGCCATTTCAGAGACCCAAATCGGAGACGCCTACCAGGAAGGACCTACTACATCCATATGTACGGTCTATGTATGGTGTATGTAAGGGGGTGTGCCCCCAGAATATGTTTCTGTTTGGTCCAGTCCTTCCATTTTGGGAACCTGAAATGACCCTTGATAGAACCTGATCAGCCCGAAACTCATCTGTCTCCAGGCCACGGTCGCCAACGTTGCGGCCGCCCAAACGCCCAAAGCTGTGGAGGCGGCGCTTTTTTTTGATGGGACTTTGGGACTATCGTCGTTGTTATGATATTTTTTCGTAGTTCATATCTAATTTGATTAATTAGATTAATTTCTTGTAACATGTCCATACGTAATACATATATATATGTGTATATGTATATATATATATATAATTATTTAATATTCATACATATTTAATCATGATATTTGATGATATTTGTATATTTATATATATAGACATATCAATTCATCTATATATATATATATATACATATTTTTTTCACACACACACATATATATATATATATTATATTCAAATATATATATATATATTCAAATATATATATATATATATTCAAATATATTTTTAAATATATATACATATTTATTCATATATAGATATATTCATATATAATATTTATATATATATTCATGTATATATATATATATTCATATGTATATATATATATATGTTGTTTTAATTGTATCGTAACTATTATCGTCATATCAACATTTGCCATTGCATTGTTATCATTATAGACTCAGATTTTCGTAAAGATTGGTGTGTGACATTTGCCGGTGTTTGGTTAGTTGGTGGCTTCATTTGAAGCCATGAATGTGGGGAACAATCCGTTCCTCCAATCATCACAGCCGCAATTAAATAGTGGATTTGTTCATTTGGGGGGCTAAGGTACGCATGGGGTCTGTGCAGAAATGGGGTAAACTCGATTTAGGGATTTGTTGATGTGGATTTTGCTTTGATAAATCCCTAGTTTCGGTTTGTTGTGCATATGTCATATGAATATGTTTTCGAAAATACCACCATCACAAATCCAGAAAAGTACCAAATACAAGCGCCATTCTTTAAGGTTTCTGGAAAATGCGGCATTTTTCCAACATATACAAAACGCGGAAAATACGCCACATCCCACCAGTTTCCCCTTTTCAAAGAAACCTGCACCATCGCAGCTCCCAACCCGCACATCAGGCCGATTCCAGCCCACCGGTGCAGCGTAGCACCACACGAAGTCATTCCCAGAAGTCGCTTGGAAGTCGCCAAGGGATGCTGCGTGGGGTTTAGCTAACCAGGGATGTGTGGGGTTTACATGGGGTTTTCTGGGCTTTAATGGCCAGAATTATGGATAACAATAATGTGATTCCAATGACGATAGATATCCCCCAATGGCGACAATAATTTATAATCAGGGGATATTTGATGATGATGATGATGACGATGACTCACAGATTTTAAAATGTTTAAACAAGTCAATGACATTTGGTTTCTGGAACCTGGAGCTTTCTGCAGCTCTATTCCGAATTTCCGGCCAGAAATTAACAGTATGAGTATTATGAGTATCCACCTCGGCCCAGATCCTCACCCCAGCAAAAGTGGTGTTTACCCCAATTCCTTGGTGCTCAGAAACACATTTTGCGGCTACTCTTCCCATCCAAAAAATCCATTCCCGCTGAACTCCAGGCTCCAAACTGCTGCTGCTATGGACGTGTTGCCAGCCAACCAGACAGTCGCCAAAGGAATGCGTGGCGTGGCTATAATTTTCAATCGGGCGGAGAAGCGATTGCAACAATCAAAATAGCTACCCTCTGGTAAGTTAACATAACTATGGAAAATCACCATTTACAGTGATTTTTCCTATTAACGTTGGTGATTCTCCATAGTTATGTTAGTTTACCAGAGGCTAGCTTTTGTACTGATTCGTATGGCCAACGATATAGCTAATCATGTCTATACCAATTGCAGTAGCTGTGAAAACTGACAGATTCGTTGACCCGCCTGTAATTTGGTACATACTGGAAGCCATGGACGCTTTACTTCGATGATTTACCCACTTGAAATCGTGATTTTCTTTAGCAAACTGTTAAACCACCAGAGTGGACCAGTATTTCCCAGATTTTGTTGATTTTACTTTTCTATCTTTGCGGTGTTGTTGGACGAAATTGGGTGGGATTTCACGAACAAGCATGTGGACCCACAAATTTATGAACTTTATACAATCTACAAATCTCATGATTTTCCAATTCCACAAACTTCTGGCTCAGTGACCAACTCACGAACTATCCAAACCACGCTTCAATCGACTTGTTTGATATCGAATCATGTGGTGCAGCATTTTCTCCTACTATTCCATGCTCGCCCTCGTCATGCAAATGCGTGTGGCGCAGGGCCTACTTCTCAGAGGCAGCAATGCCACTGCATCGGTCCCAGGGCCAGAGACATGTCAAGTGCTGAAGAATGAGGAGACGTATTCATCCATCAAGGTATCGGTTGGGAACCCGCCGCAGAGCTTCCAGTTGGTGGCCGACACGGGGAGCGACAATTGCATTGTGAAGGATTGCGTTTGCACCCAATGTTTGCCGGAGTGGGGCAAGGCCTGCTTCGTGGAGCCCAAGAAATCCAAGACCTTCAAGGTGCCACTCTTCAAGAAAGAGTACTATGGCGGCGAGAAGCAAGGACCTTCCCCAGCCAGAATGGCAATGAATTTCGGTAGCGGTGAGATCAGTGCTGAGATTGCTTCCGACCAGGTCAACATTGGCCACATCAATGCCAACATGGAGAACGGTTTGCTTCTGATGTACGATCACAGCCTGGAGATCAGAGCGCACTTCGAGGGAATTCTGGGCATGGGCCGGCCCAATGCTGAGTTCAAGCCACGCCCCGGGCAACCCGAAGGGGTGAAAATTCCAGGTTTTTTCGACAGTGCCAAAGTGAGGTATTTCTCCATTTGCTTCAATCACGGGGCAGACGGTGTCTTGGGCATGCACACTACTCATCATCCGAAGTCTTTGACCTCCGTGGGGAAGACTCACTGGGCCATGGATTTCCATGGCATCTCCATTGGAGATCAGGCCTTCAAGATGGGTACCTGCGACCCAGCCCTCAAGAAGCCAGAGATGGAGACGGCCTGTAGCATCATCCCGGACACCGGCACCACGCTGGTGGTGGGCCCTGAAGCACAGATCGCCAGCCTCTACGAGGATTTGTGCAACAACTGGCAGCGATGCAAAAACACCCACAAGGACTTGCAGGCTGAAATCCAAAAGATGACAAGCAGTGGGATCAGGGTTGAAGGTCCTGCGGGAGCTTTGGACTTGGCCGAGTCCGATTTCGATCACTTCATGGACGTGGTGGCAGAGGTCATGGCACGCAGCTCTCCGGAGGCGCCTTCCTTGGTGGATGAGCCGGACGTCTTCAACAAAGCCAGGGCAATTGGTGACAAAACCACACACATCATCGGCAAAGCCAGCGAAAGTGGCAAAGAACACGCCACCGACATCACTGGCAAAGCAAGGGTGATCCGGGAAGCAAGCGCCAGCAAACAGGATGAGAAAGGAGTGCCGTTCAAAGGAGAAGAAGGAAAATTCTCGATTCCTCTGTCCCTGACGCTGCAACTGCTTCTGGAACACTGCGCCTCGTGGATTGAAAAGGTGGACCTCAATCAAGAGATTCCGGAGCTCAAGTTCCACGTGGCCGATACCAAGGGCAATAAGGACAGGAGAGTTATTTTTTGTTATTTTTTCCGGATTTGTTTTTGTTTTCCAGTCTGGCTTTGTGGCTTTTGGGGGCTTTGGTGGCTCTGGGATTCCTTGCTTTTCTGAATTGTGTCTTCTCGGCTCCTTAGTTTCATTTTAAAAAATGTTATTCCCCTGCCAGGTGAGGGTTGTTAGATTTTTTCAGAGCTGTTCTCCTCATCCTCCTCCTCCTCCTCGTCCTCCTCCTTCTCCTCCTCCTTCCTCCTCCTCCTCCGCGTCTTCCTCCTCTTCTACCACCTCTGCCTCCACTTCCACGTCCACTATAGTTGCCTTGCCAACTCTTGGCCAAGCTCTTCGCCACCTTCGGAGCTCAGTGCGCACTGCTGGACCTCAACCTGGGACCTTCCCAGCTCAGTGCGCACCGCTGGACCTCAACCTGGGACCTTCCTAGCTCAGTGCGCACTGCTGGACCTCAACCTCGGACCTGCCGAGCTCAGTGCGCACTGCTGGACCTCAACCTGGGGCCTTCCGAGCTCAGTGCGCACCGCTGGACCTCAAAAGCCAGATAGAATGTCAGATAGAATGCGAGAAGATATGCCAGATAAAATGCCATAAGATATGCCAGATAGAGTGCCAGGAGATATGCCAGATAGAATGTTAGAAGATATGCCAGATAGAATGCCAGAAGATATGCCAGATAAAGTGCCAGAATGTTTGCCAGATAGAATGCTAGAAGATTTGAGCAGATAATATGCCAGGAGATATGCCAGATAGAATGCCAGAAGATATGTCAGATAGAATGCCAGAAGATTTGCCAGCAACAGAATGTATAAATGTCACGGTGGGGATCACACGAATTAAAGTAATTGTTGGCTTCTTGTTCTTTTGGCATTTGTCATTTGTGGCTTCTTGGCAGTCCACTATCGTGCCGACAACGAGTAAAACATCAATGAGAACTGATAAAACTAAATGATATAATAGTAACATGAAAGCGTTGTATTTTTTGAAAGAAATACAAGATCCAATCCAACAATGATATGAATTGTAGGAAAAAGTGATAACGTCCAATGAAATTATGTACAACCAATACACCCAACATCTACCTAGCTATATAAGCTATCTAATCTAACTGTCTATCTAACTATCCATCCATCTATCTATCCATCTATCTATCGACCTATCTACCTACCAATCGATCTATGTATCGTTCTATCTATCTTATTGTTTGTATCTATCTATCTAATCTATCTATCTCATCTATCTATCTAATCTATATATATATATATCTAATCCATCTACTCTATTTATATACTCTACTTATCTACTCTATCTAATCTATCTATCTAGTCTATCTAAGCTATCTAATCTATCTAAACTAATCTAACCCAACCTAATCTAATCTATCGATCTGGCTATCTATCTAAATCTAATCTAATCTGGAATCTGGTCTAATCGAATCTCATCGAATCTCATCTAATCTAATCTAATCTATCGATCTATTTGTCTATATGTCTATATGTCGATCGATCGATCTATCGATCAATCAATCTATCAATCTATCAATCTATCAATCTATCAATCTATCTATCTATCCATCTATCTATCGATCTATCTATCTATCTCTCGATCTATCGATCGATCGATCGATCGATCTATCTATATATCTATCTCTCTCTCTCTATCTACCTACCTACCTACCTACCTATCTATCTATCTATCTATCTAATCTAAACCTTGTATCCCTACATGTGCCTTAGCCCAACCCTCAACAAACTAACTAAACCACCGAAACCAACCCGAAATAAACCTTAAACCAACTCTAAATAATCCCTAAACCAACCCTAAATAAATCCTAAACCAACCCTAAATAAATCCTAAACCAACCCTAAATAAACCCTAAACCAACCCTAAATAAACCCTTAAAAATACCCTAAGCCAACACTATGTTAACATCCAATGACACTCTTTTGACCCAACACGGTTGTGCTTCAACCTATATTCTATGTGGTCACCAAGTGCATCTTATGCATGTAAAAATCGATGGAAACTGTGGACATCAATTGAAACTATAGAAAAAAACATGAACACTATGGAACAATCGATGAACACCATGGAAAAATCAATGAAAACCATGGACAAATCGGGTAAAACCATGAAACATCGAGTAAAACAATGGAACAATCAATGAACACCATGGAAAAATTGATGGAAACCGTGGACAAATCGATGAACAGTGCAAATTATAAATTTCAGTTCCAAATTTCAACATGTTTGCTTCAAAATGTAGCAAATAGCGAGGAAATGTGTCCCAGATTGAAAAAAAAACTGCACCCATAAGGACATCCTGCAGATCCCTGCAAGCAGCTACATCTTCTCGAAAGCCATCAATATCGAGGTTCCAAGCATTCGCAACGTCTTGGGCTTTCCATTGAAGATCAGGACCCCTCAGAATGAGAAGGTCTGTATGATGGGTTTCAGTGCTATGGACTACTACACGGAACTGAATGGCGATGTGTGGATCTTCGGCACGCCTTTGTTCTATGAGTACACCGTCCACTATGACCGTGGCGAAGGGAAAGCGGAGGAGATTAAGATGGGTTTCTCCAGTAAGAAGGAGAGCCAGTGCGGCCAGTGCCAGGGCGAAAAGATTGTGCGATCCTCCTTGCTGGATGAGAAGGTGAATACGAACACTCACGTGGGATTGGAGGCCTTGAACCATCTCTCAAAGCAGCCGATCATCCGCAAATTGCCCCCCGGCATGAAGCACGTCTGAGGGCAGGTAGGTGCCTTAGAGAACCCTCGCTCCTCAGCGATACCTCCAGCTGGGAAAGCAGAAAACCAGCTGGTGGTTTAGCGCTGACCAAAGGAGCACTGAACACCTTCTTGGGTTCCCTGACCGCACTTGGCGGGTGTGAGACCTGTCCATTTTCATCGTTTTTCTTAGTGTCGAACTGCGACCTAAGCCTGAAAAAAAAGAGCGATTAGGAGAGAGCAAAGGAGCCATGGGCATCCACATGTCCCATCCCAGAACTGGAAGCCAAAAAGTTTTGATCAAAGTTTCCCAACAACACGATTACACGATAGTGATTTCCATTAGTGATTTGATAATAGGGGGCCCCCAAATCTAGTGATTCATCATGCCCAACAACCTGCAAATCCATGCAAATCCCCCCAGCTGATCCCACGCTCGGCGTGTCACGGCGGAACGTTCCGAGGCTGTCGTTACTGGTCCTCGACCCATGGAGGTCGCTGGCTACCGGCCTGTGTCACCAAGGTGCACAGTGATGGCACGTGTGGACACTCAGAGGGCGGAACATCATGTGGTTTTTGGTGATAAAACAAGCTGGGACAAACAGCTCGTGCGGTTCCAACCTGGGAGAACTTGGGATATGTTGTGTATTTGCTTGTTCTTTATTCTGATTTGTTAGAAGGCTTGTATGTGGGAATTTGGTAGAATTGGCGTGTGATGGCATATGTATGGTGCAGTGGTGTAAGTGTGTGTACAAGCAAGAGGATGTAAACAGAAGTCAGGTTTTGGCTGGAATTTGGATGAGTGGCACGCTTGGTAAGCAGAACCATCGTTAACGTTGCAGTTCTTTCAACTCACAAGTGGCTTGTGGCCATGGCCACACAGCATTCTTCAATCCTCACTAGAATTGTGCCCTAGTGGTACATTACACACACATACACACACGCACATATATTTTATATATGTATATATGTATATATCATATATTTATATATATATATATATCATATTTATATATATATTTATATATATGCATATACATAATACATACATATGTCTATTAAGTATCTGTCTACCTACCCATATATCCATCAGTATAGTTCTCAAGCTATCCATCCTCCAATTGTTCAGGCAGCGTTTCAGCCTTTTTTGTTGCGTTCCCAACTGGTCGTTTTCAGTTCCCCGGGGTGATCTCAGGGTGGATCTGGACATCAAACAGCACGCCTCCATCGAGAACATCTCCCCATCACCGGAGGTCGCTGAGGCGGAGGCGACGATGCCACGTGGTGATGGAGGAATCAACGGGGAAACCTCGGTGAAACCTTGCTGATACCTGCCGACCTGCCGGCATTGGCATAGGGCATTGGCATAGTTTGGTAACCAATGCCATGTTTGTTACCATGTAGATTTATTGAACATGATTCATCTGGCCAGCTCACTTTTGTTGGTTTGGCGGTAGGGTATCCAAGATTCGTGGTGGAGTGGGCCAAGCCTTGAGAAGCTTGATGGAGTAAATGTTCATGTCGAGCATATAATCTATGCCAAAAAGCAGGTTTGTTACAAGCGGAGGTGCGGAACAGTTGAGAAACAAGGAACATTTGTTGTTTTTGCAGATGGCTGATTTTGTCATGAGCGAACATGTCTGACAGATTCTGACAGCGTATGATGTTTTGAACATTTTTATGAGTTGGACACTTGCCATAACTCTGGTTGTTAAGTCCCACTTCTGATAGCTAAAGCACATTAAAGCGATCAACCACGAACGTGATTCTTGAGAGGGATTTGTGTGATTGGACATAAATTCGCAGGTTTCAGCCATCATTAATATTTAGATGATTCGGAAATGGCCACTTGATCAGGATAATCCGAATCCTTGTTGAATATTGACATGTCTTGCATGACCTACGTATGGGCCACAAGAATGAACATACCCAATACTACACCAGGTTTTCGAGGTGTTCGATCAGGACGTATTCAATATTAATGCGATGGGGATGTTCACAATTTGACTTATTATATTACAATTTTCTCACAATTGAGGCATTTGTATTGAAAGAACTTACCTTTGAATCGAAGCTTTATTAAAGTTACCATCATATACCTAGTAAGTAATGAATAATAGTAATAGTATCATATATACCAACAGAATGAAGAATAGTAATAGTATCATATACCTATAGCCTTACTAGTTCTTTCTTGGGTTAATATAGTTAATATGTCAATGGCCATTTCAGGGACCTAAATTAGAGGTACCCTATATAAGGCCTATGTAAGGGAATATCCCCACAAAATATGGCCTTATATGGTACAGTACCTCCGTTTTAGGATCCTGGAATTCCCATTGAATATGAATGTCTGACTCATCCCTTTTTTCATTTTGGCCACAGGCGTGGCCCCCGGGGACCAGCGTCAGCTACAACAGCAGCACCGCCAAGCGTTGGATCCCGGCGGTGGTGCAGTCGTTGCTGGGCGAAGAATTTGGCGAAATTTCTGGGATAAAATGGGGATATGGGGGTTTCCTCAAATATGGGTACCCCTAAGTCATCCATTTTCATGGGATTTTCCATTATAAATTATCCATTTGGGGATATTCACCATTTTAGGACACCCTAACATAATGGGTATGTCATGGGTACACACCCTCTGGTAAACCAACAGTTTGCTATGGAAAATAACAATGTTTGATATCCATGTTTAATGGGTAAATCAAATATTTCTATGGCCATGTTCAATAGTTATGTTAAATTACTAGAGGGTAATAGGCATATCATGGGGATATCATGGGGATATATCATGGGGAATGTCATTGACAATAATGGGATGCAATGGAGACATACGGAAATAGAATAATTGGTTGGTGGTTTGGAACATGTTTTATTTTCCATAATATATGGGATAATCCTTCTCATTGGCCAATATGTTCCAAGATGGTTAAAACCACCAACCAGGATACAATGGATGTGGTTTGACCAACAGTTGTTTGGCAAGTTTTGATTTATGGGATCATCCTTCCAAAGCTGAACCCCCCCAAGAATGTTTGGGCCTAGTGAGGGCACATTTGAAGCACCACCAGCCAGTTGGAGCTTGAGCATGGGATACAGATTGGATACCGAATGGACGTGGAACCATGTATTTATACATGTAACATAGGAATCAGAAATGAACCGGCATCCCATTTGTTTGTAGTATTGTGTGTTTATGTGTATATAAATTTATATATGCATGTATCACCGCAGAATGGCATGCAAATGGATCGGGCACCATATGTCACCACCACTTTAAGATAGACATAAAACTCCAACACACTAGAGGGCGGGTGATTTATGGGTAGTTTTCACTTTTGGGAGTCCAACATAATGTGGTGAAAAACGCATGCAAGTTTTCAATGGGATGTTCCTATGTGATGATTTTAATGCCTTGAATGATATATGTGGACTGATCTTTGATGGCTGATTCCCGGGCAATTTTGTGTTCTGGCTATTTCGCTAAGGCCTGTCAAACCTGATTCCCATCACATTGATGATCTCCAGGATTGATGACAAAACCCAGGCATACAGCTAGACCCGTAGCCATGTCAGTCATTTGAAATGTGTAGACGCAGGGATGTTCATCGAAAACTCTAATGTCCTAGGCAAACAGACTTGTCAATGCTTGGGTGATGATTAATTTTTCGGCTATGTTGATCAAGGTTGTTCCATGCGCCACTCAAAAAATGTACGAGGAATCTAAGGTTACTGTCAGCTTAACCATGACCAAAAAATAAAAATCGAAGGCACTGTTTCAAATAAACATGGTCATGCCTCTTCCACGTGTGGATGGTTTAGATCGATGAAGAACAGTGTTAGGTTACTTGGATCGTAAGGTACTAGGCTTTAATAAGGCACCAATTCGGATTTTTTGATTCAAGACATCCAGCTGAGCGGGGCATGCAGCAGCAATCCTTGGATATGGGCACCTTTTGGATGTTTTGGATATCAACCATCAATAGATCATGCGGCAACCAGATCATCAACAGCATAGCAGCAGAGTCTATCAAATCTATCAACATTTACCCATCCATCCCCAAAAAACGATCCCAATGTGGGCAAACAAACTAGAATTAGATGGTGCTGTGGTCAATCACGCAGGACGCTCAACCCCCTTGTTGCAGGTTGAAACCACCAACCAGTTGACCCTCCGGTAGCCAGACAAGGCTTGCTGGAACCCCCCTCTTTAGATCCATATAGTTCAAGTGTGTCCCATTAAGACCACTATTTTAGAGGTTTCCTAGTTTCCTAATGTAGGGACACCCCCAAATCATCTATTTTCATGGGATTTTCCATTATAAACCATCCATTTGGGCTAGCTCCATTTATGGAAACCTCCATTTCGTTCGGGGATTTCCATGGATTTCCCAGCTGTTCAGTCGTTCAGTGGCCAAGGTTCAACTCGATGAGCAGCACCAATCCTGCCGCTGCTGCAAGGGAGTTTTGCTTTGCCAAGGAATTTGAGATGTTAGAGATGTTCAGATGCACTTCAAAGACATGTTAATACGTTTTACAAGACGTATGTGTTGAATGTGTTTTTTTGTTTTAGAGCATATAAAGCAGAGGGCATCCGGCAATTCGCAGCCAAAAGTCATCTCAATGATTCCCGTTGTTTCAATAAAGTACATCCCATCCCACCCCTTTCATTATAAGACTCACCATTGTGGCAGCAGTCTTCCCTCAATAAGTTAAATCACTTTCTTTGGGTTGCTTAACACATACCCATGTTGCGTCATGTCAAGCATTTCATATTTAACAGTCAGAGATTTCTTTGTATACATGTTTGGAATTTAGTTTGGCTATTAAATTCCGACTTAGATGGGCAAATTTATTTGTAAATATCGAGCTGGTAAGCCATTATATCTGGCGCAGGTAGTCGAAGACATACGCTCTCAAGATCACCACATGATCAACACTTAGCCAACGAACCATAGTCCAAACCGTATTGAATTTCCAATTTAAACTTAGATATGCAGAGATATGGTTTGTTTTAAACATAGGATAGCCAATGGATTACGATTCTCTTGTTCATTTTCCCAAGAGAACCACGTGCTAAACTGGCCATGAACCCACATCCGATGATTGAATCCATTTTTTTAGAAACTTAAATCTCTATATTTAGAGTCTAAATCCCATTTTTCTTCGTAGTTAAACCGCCACTTTGAGTAGAAACCCTCGCATTTTTGGCGGTTCAAGCAGCACTTTTTGGCCGTGGCCGCTGCCAACCCATGGCCTTCCGTGGCACGGCCCCAGGTTGGCAGCTACAACCTGGACGTGCGTCCCATGGCGGACTGTGAGAAGATCCGGCCCCGGCTGTTGAAGCCGGAAGTGCTGCACTTCACCGGGTGACCGGGGAACAAGGGCTGGGCGCCGGATGAAATAAGAGGAAATCACAGGAAACGTCAGGAAAAGGAGATCTTTATATGCTTATGATGGGATTTGTATATGTAATTGCTATGGATTTTTGTTGTATATGGTGGGATTTGCATGGATAGAAAAATTGGACTGGGCGCTGGATTTATAAACCAACTGATGAGAGTTCTATATGGAATTCATGCACCAACTAATGGGATAACTATCGTTAATGTGGTAAATCATGGTAAACCCAATGCCATAAACCATCCCCCAGATGATATTTTCTATGGGTGGTACTGTATAAACTATCCCCAAGATTCCCCAAGTGCAATCCACATTACTATGTTTTTTTTGGAAAGTGATTTCATTGGAGCAACTTTACGGTTTTGATGGGACATTATTTATACACATACCACCTGCTGGGTGGTGTTTTTAGTGCCTTGAATTGTTACCCATCACGGCGAAAAACAGGGCTCGGCCTTTTTTAATCCAACCTGATATCGGAAATAATCACCTAATATCAAACAATATAGCCATTCAATGAAGGTACCCCCAAACCATCCTTAAAATTAACCCATTGGAGGAATCTATGGGTGAAAACTATGGGTTTATGGTTATGAAACATTATAGCTATCTGGCTGGTGGTTTCAAACATTGCTTTTATTTTCCATAATATATGGGATGTCATCCTTCCCATTGACTTTCATATTTTTCAACATGGTTAAAACCACCAGCAACCAGAAAATGATGTTCCAACAACTCTGTTGTTTTCCATGGTTTCGTTGAAGGCTTCAACTGCCATATGGTTTGCCCAGATTCTTCACACCCAAGTTTCGCCACCCTCGGCTGCAACTGGATGTGTCTCACATTGATAGCTTCGGCGGGCGCAAAGTGGCCACCCCGAACAGCACTCCAAGGTCCCATTTGGGAAGAATAAGTAGAAGTGCTATTTCTTCAAGCAATCCGCAAGCAACAAACCCTAATTGTTCAAGGTTTATGAACAGCAAGACATGTAAAATGATGTTTGCCTTACTTTGGGATATTAAAGGTGAGTCATTAGTTAAATTATATAAATGGTATTAGTCACATCCCCCAACATTGAATACCTCCAATAGGCGGCCCCAATTCATTCATAATTATAGGACCAAGATTTCGTTTGGTAGGCAAGCATAGGGGAAGGAATTGCGTGGGTTTTCCATATTGTTTTTCATTCAGGAACTCTATGGCCTTGCCACTGCCACTGTTTGGGGTTGGCCCCGCTTGCTGGTACGTAGCTACGCCCGGGTTGGCCCGGCCATGTCTTTTGGCGGGAACCCTCCAAGATGTGGGGAGTGAACCATGCTATCCACGCTTGGATGGAGAAAAATAACAAGTTGCAAGTGGCCATTCATGTCAAGTCATGGAAAATTTCCTGTCGAAGAAAAGGAAAGTCAGATCACTCAGGTCGCCGGTCTTGGCTTTTGTTGGCAACCTTGCACGCCGAACGTTGACAACCTTGAAAGGGCAGCCCACACTGGTGAATCAACGGCTGAGCTTTCTGATGGGCTAACGACAGGAAGATCTTTGAAAATGATCCCAACTGATTGGTTTCCGGAATGTTTTTGCGTTTCTTAAATTGGATTTACTTTGGAACTTTGTATTCGCTTTTCACTGGGCAAATTAACCCAGCAGACAATCCGAAAACTCTTACCAGAAGCCCCCTTAAAAATGTGTTTCAATGGATTGGTCAAAGGAAAATCCACGGGAAGCTAGGTGTTTATTGCCGAATATGTTTTTTTTCTTTCCGAGTTTTTTGCTGCAGATTTGGGGCCATAAATTGTGGCCGTCCAATGATTCTAATCCTCGATGGCCTTATTTGTAAATTATTTGTGCTTCAGATTTCTTCAGACACCTGTGGCCTTGCCATTGTGCTTCTTTGTAAATTATTTGTAAATTATTTGTAAAACATAACAGCTGGATGTTTTCTGTTCGATGTGCTGCCCTTTCAATTGGCCACTGCCATTGCGACTCTCCCGCGGCACGACCGTTGCTGCATCACTTGATGGAAACAGGGACCGGCACAAGGTTTCAAAGTTTAGGGTCGAACACCATCATTTCAAAAAGCAGACATGCTTTGCACTTTGAACATGGAACATCATGTAACATAGAACATCGGATTGGGTTGGGATGATTTGTTTTCTTGTCCACTGTTTGAGTCAAACCCAATTGGACAACTGATTGGACACCCCCAAAGCGGGAAGATTTGAATGATGATTCGACATGCTAAACGTATGCCTATGATTGGGCTTTGCTTCCACCATCTTCTGACTGGGGCAGTATTACTCGCAGGAAGAGCCAGGGCAGCCAGAGCCAAGTAGAAGGATTGGTCAAAGATGCATGAAAACATGTAAAAACATATAGAAACCTAGAGCCACCCTCTGGTAAGCAATCGTGGCTTACTGGAAAACCCATCATAGATAGACTAAACGGAAAAAACATCGAACTTGTAAATTAGTTAATTGGGAATTTCCGTGCCACGTTTGATTACCAAAGGGTAGAGTTAGTGATTCAAGCTGATCCTGGAATCCTGGCCACAGAAAAATGTGGAAATGAGTCTATGGGGAGATGAATCTATGGAAATTGCAGTTGCTTGAACTTGATTGCTGGGATTTGTTTTTGAATAGTGCAATCATGCCCTGCCTGTTCAGATTTGCTAGTTTGGTGATTTGTTGGGCGGTCGAAGGCATCTATTCTTGCTAGTTTTTGCTGTTTTTGGCAGACTTTTTTGGGCTAAATCCAGCATTTTTTTCAGGCCTCAGTTTTATCATACCATCCGAGAGCAGACAAAGCATCAGCACATTTCAATCTCAGCAGGTTTCCCATCTTGCGGGTGGACGACATCTTTTGGTGGACGATGCCACTTTCTCTCTCCTTGGATCCGCATGTGACGCATGAAAATATGGTACATCCATGGCAAAAATCATTATCCCCATTATCCCCATTAAAAATGGCACTGTGCTGGAGGACCCCCCCCACTGATAGAAACGCAAAGGGTCCGTTCTGCATTTGGTAAATCCCTATGTTTGATTGTTGAATCCCAGTTGCGCTGGCCGAATTTCCTGACAATTTATGAGATTTTGTGCTAATATACCTATTTATAAATAATAATTATTATAATAGTAGCATTTAATATATTATATAACTATATGTTTATTATATATATATATATTCCCAATATTTTTCAAGTACAATACAAGCACCATCTTGATGACATCCCGGCAGATCCTCCAGATCTTCCGAGGTCCTATTGGAGAACGGTGCCTGTCCGGATGCAGCAGGACGTGAGGGCGTTTGGAGCCCCAGAGAGCTATGCACCAGACCATTTTTTTTTGGGACATGTGAATCATTGGCCGTGTTTTGTTTTTTCAGGTTTGTGTATGCGTGTATGTAATGTATATATATAAAGTATATATATATACATATGTATATATAATATGTTTCTCATAATTTGATCATGACTAATTTGTAACGTGTAATGTGTGAACTTACTCAACTTTTCGAGCTTTCCGGCCTTGAGCTCCGTCGAGGTCACAGCCCTGGAGCTGCTACTGCGCAAGGAACGCGAGGAGAGCGCGGATGCAGAGTGGATCAGGTGCTGACTGAGCTGACCTCGCGACGTCGCGACGTGAAAGGATGGTGAACGTCTAAGGGGAATACCCGGTAAACATACAAAAAAACGATGGAAAATCACCATTTTTAATGGGTATATCATGGTATATCAACTATTTCTATGGCCATTAATGGCAATTTTCCAGTTCGCAAACTGTAAACGTTGACCAGATGGTTTTTTAGGGGAATTGAATCATGATCCCAATGGAGATTGGACGCCATTCAATGAAGGTACCCCCAAATCATCCTTAAAATTAACCCATTGGAGGAATCTATGGGTGAAAACTATGGCTTTATGGTTATGAAACATTATAGCTGTCTGGTTGGTGGTTTCAAAATGTTTCAAACATGGCTTTTATGTTCCACTTCATAAAAAAGGGATGTCATCCTTCCCATTGACGAACTCATATTTTTCAAGATGGTTAAAACTACCAACCAGTTTTGTATTTTTCATGACGCTTGGAGGAATCATCCCTAAGCGGCGAGCAATTTTGTTTTCAGCTATTTTCATCGCTTTTCTGGTGACCGTTTATTGTAATTCAGCCAGATATTTCGAATGTATACAAGCTGGGGCCTCACAGCTATAAGTTGACTCAACTCATTTGTAGTTATATCATAAAGCGTGACTTTGTTGACTATGGTTCCATATTATGGTGGATCTGTCTGAAAACAAAAAAAATAGAAACACCATATACCACAAAAGTGGCAATTTTAGGGAATCTATAGGGCATATGATCTTTTGGGTGTCTCTGTGGCCATCCAACCTCGGTCCGTCAGGCAATGTGCAGATGTCGGGGCCCCAGGGGGCCCAGGGGGCCCAGGGGTCCAGGGCGGCCCTGAAAAATTCCACCGATCCGTGGCTAATCAAACGGAAAGAAATAGAGGATATGGGGGTTCCATATATCGAGGTACCCCAAAATGGATGGTTTATAGTGGAAAATCCTATTAAAATCAATGATGCAGGGGTTTTAGAACCGTTGGTTAGTAAGGGGAATCATCCCAAAATCACCCTCCTACAGCTTGGTCAAGGCGCTGCACACTCGTCCCAAAGGTTTTTGGTGGTACTACGTAAATCATTCCATTAACTACGGACTGAAACTTAGAATGGACGGATGGGTCCCAAATTTTAGACCCTTAACTTAGAATGACTGGCACTTAGAATGACCGCACATCACACAAAAAACAAACGCAATCCCAGACTCTCAGACCTGATTCAGACAACACATGCAGGAAAACTGGGTAAAAGACCTTAGTTTGACCGGCCCTTTACAGTTGGAAAGAAATCGGAAAGACGGCCTACAGCAAGGGTCAGTTGACCTATCACTCACTCGACCCATGGGAAGTAC